GGAAATTCTTTTCTCTGAGTGCCCTGAATGAACTTTGGTCTCTGGCTGTTCTCCTACTCTCCCTGCTCTTGTTCCTTTGGCTCCTGTAGCTCATCAGCTTATCTGAATGGAGTAGAAATGTGAGAATGCAGCTCTGTCAAAAGTCCAGAGACTTAGACTGCTTGCAGTAAAGTTGTGGAGCAAGGCTGTCTGGATGGAGCTCTGATGAACTTGTGAATAGGAGATGATAGTCAACTGCAGCTGGTCACTCTGAACAAGTCCACTCACTGAATATATCAGGATGTTATATTTCACCTTACATATTCCACCATTCTACCTTGGGACTCAGTAATATGACAATATGCTCTTGTTATTGTTAGAAATTACACCATGGTACACTGTTCTGAGCATATTATAGTTATCATTAGTGCTTCTAGAACAATGCATAGCTGCGACATAAATTTAGATTAATTATAGAGCCTCTCTAGCTGATTGGACGGCAGTGTATTTTGCTGATGTCTACTTTTTCTGTTCCATCTTAAATAATTATTTTTTTAATACTGAATTAAAAAAAACTTTATAGATTTTCCTAGACTTTATTTTAAATATTGCACTACTGTTTGATCTATTCAGACTTCTTCGCAAATCTCAGAAAACAAAACATTTTTGACAGTATCAAATATCTCAGGTGTTGTATTCTTATCTTTGTTGTATCCATACCCTTCATTCACCTAACATCTTAATGTAATGGTTTGGTGAAAAATCACATTTCTGCAGTGATCCATTTGTCACAGCTGTATTTAATCAACCAAGACATGTTTGATGTCAAATTTTGTTTAATTGGTTTAGTGCCAGAGCCAAGAGGCTAACATTGCAAACAAACACTAGGAGTCTATAGTCACCCAAATCTTTTCATTAACTACATTCCCAAAACGTCACTCAACCCATTCGAATTGCATCCCGGTCCTCATTGGTGTTGCACAGACTTAATGTGGTTTAGTGGACAATATGATTTCCCATGGAATATATATAAACAGAACCTCACCGTGTAGCTGAACGCTGCGTTCAAGCATTTTGGACAACGGTTTTGGGCCAAATTCAAGAATCCAGCTCCACTTTTATGCCTGTGTGACATTGAATGTTAGATAAGTCACAATTTATATTGTGACTAATCTAACATTTTAATGCTAAATTAGTCACAATTTATGTCGCTTATATTTATAAATACCTTCAAATGGAAAATTCAGGATTACAGGTTGAAACAACAGAAATTGTGAACAAAATCTGTAGCATCCGTATGCCTGCGTGATGATACATTTTAGAAATTTAATTTGCATTCAGCTACATGGTGATGTTTTGTTATTTTTTTTTGTAGTTCACAGTAAGTCATACTGTGTCCTAAACCACATCGAGAAGTTTTGGGGATGCATTTATGATTTAAAGATTTGGTTGCCTTTTGACTTCGCGAGTTTGTTAGCAATGTTAGCCGCCCAGCTCCAGTGCTGCTACAGTTGGCGTTGGGAGATTTATTTTGCTGAATTATTTCTTTGAAGTGACTTGCACTTTCATTCTGACTGTATAACGCTCTGTTTTGTGAGCGCATGCACAGCGGAAGCATGCTTGCCTGCAGTGCGCCAGTTTGCATGGCTGCTGAGCAGCGGAGGGAGTTTATTTGCCGCTCCCAGGCCCTCACTAAGTCCTGCTAACTCTCCCACATGCACTTGAGAGTTTGCAGTGCGCTGCAGTGGTCGGCTCCCCTGAGGGTCCCTCGAGTGAGGGGACACAGCAGCGGAGGAGGGGAATGAGGAACAGCCTGGAATCTGTTGGAACGTTCCCACACTGTATGTGTGTGTGCACTTCTGCTGGCACTTCCATGCAGATGTACAGTTAGAAAAAGGTTTATGTAGAGTAAAACAAATGGTGGCAATTTAAATACATCGATTTTTCAGTATTATAATTAATATGTAGTTATTAGAGGTGACATTGATCTGATGCCAGGTATCACATCAAATCCTGTAATAAATCTAACCTGAAATTAAAAACGGCCTGTTAGTATTTTTTAAAGAATAATAATCTGTTTGGGATCACTCTCAGCCATATTGTGCAGTTTTATTGATCTATAGTAATATTTCAGGCTTCTCGAATGAAAAATCCCAAAAAACTTGATGTATAGTTTTAATTGTTTGCATTTTATAAAGGTACCGATCGTGCATTTTTATGGCCGTTACAGATTCCTTCACTGACACATTTTGTTGGCCAGTTTTATCATCCTTTTATATTTTTTTTAATCTAATACTCTCACTTTGTGGGCTAAATGAACATATGAAACACAAGCACATTTCAGTACTTTATATTAGCTAAAGCCACAGTAGAAGTGACATTATTTGCTTTTAAACAGGCCAGACTGACATTTTAAATTCTGTTTATACAATATGAATCAAGTGCTACATTGAAAGTAAGAGGCCATTTTGATATCTGTTGTTACATAAATACAGTGCAAGTGCATTTACCCGCCTCACATTATGTGTCCTATAATTTCAACACAAATCTGCGAAAATAATACTCATAAATTGGCAGATTGACGATTGCGGATTTGAAGTGAAAATCTGCTGTTTCTGCCTGTTGTGCATCCTTTATATTTTCCAGTACTGAGTAATTGATTAAAATTTTTGAGAGGTCACCGGTGGTGTGTTTGTATGTGTTCACAGCAGTGGCATAACCACAGTTTCATTTTAGGGGCCCTGGTTACAGCTTGGGGGGGGGGCAGCCAGTAAGCATTACATTGCATAGAGATTGTTATAGTAAGATTAACAATCGCCAGCTCGCTGGCTTTACTGAGGCTAAATTGTTGGGAAAGGGCCTCTCTGTCATCATAACCAAATAGAAAAATTGAAATGTTTTGAACACGGCACACGATTGCTGACCACACATTTAACAGCCTTACTTCACTGATTACTGTAACAGCTGACAGAATACTACAGCAGGTATCAGATAGTTAACCAGTGTTCGTCCTGTTACAGCACTAGGTGTAGATGTCCAGGGTGAATGGTTGAAGACTGGTTGAGATTCAGCTTTTGTCATTACCATGGTCAACTTTACAGCTTACCTAGCTTGATAGCTAGCTTATGCTATGAGCTCGGGAACTAGCTTATGAAAATTATGCTAGCTCCCACAGTCTGCTGAAACATTGGAGGAGGGTATTTCAGTGTTTATACTTTTGAGGAAAGAAGTGTTGTTCTGTACATTATTGGAAGTTGGTATAAACCCTGCCTTTACACGACCAGCAGTGCCATACAGCCAGGTAAATGTTGCCTTGGTGGTGGCTGCTGCCGAAGATAGGTGGTGATGAAAGGAGAGGTTTGGTGGTCACTTGTTTAAGGTGGAAATGAAGACAGGAGGATGCAAGAACTTTGTGCATGTTGTGTTATAAGAGCACTTTCATTGTCATTGGAGGACTTTTTGTTTCGAACAGTCAAAAGGAAGCTACTCAGAACCCTGGTTAGCAGCAGGTTCCCCTCGTAACTGCTGAATAGTAATGCAGAGTGGTTTTAAGTTGTGGCTTGATCATACTGTGCTGCATACACACAGCGTGCACAGTGCCAGCCACTATTGATTTTACTGCGTGCTCTTGTTGTGTCATGGTGGGAACAGGAAGCATTAGATAACATGAGCCTAGTCGATTTGGTTTTAACAGCAGTGGAAATGAAAGATGGCCATGGGCTTGAACACACAACAGAACCGAAAGGAGAAATGGTCCCTCCATAGACTGCAGTAACGAGTTAGAGGCCACTGGGGCTGCACGAAATGGACATAATAGTGCTGAAATTATATTACTGCATACTCTGATTGCAGTACAGCTTGCAATATTAAAAAGTGCACTGGTGAATCTGTAATGAGACATGCCTGCATTATTTTGGACAAAATAAGTTACTTTTATTGGATTGTGTGAACAACTTGACTCATCAGAATACCCACAGAGACACTCAACTCGAACTGTGATTGCAGGATATTCACAGCACACAGTAAAACCTTTCTAATTGGTTAAAGGGGTTGCATGTTGCAGCCTGCTAAGACATCAGCATTGCATAAGCTAGTGTCACGATAACAATTGACAAATATATTGTGCAGCCATAGAAGCCACTTTAGAAAGTATTACTTCTTATTTTTGGTACTTTTGTGTTTCTAAACCCCTGACAGAAATTTACTAAAGACTTCCACAGCCGCTACAGGAACAGTATATAGGTTGCCAACCATGAAATATTTATTTTGCATGTTTTACTGTATGGTTTCCCTTTAAAGCCTCTTTTGGTAAAGTGAAAAACAGCCTCAGTGCTTTCTAACTGGCTGCTTTAGAAAGACACAAAGCCTAGACCAGCTAACTGATGTAGTATTCATATTTCCAGTGATTTTCTTAGTGGAAAAAAATGTCAAAACCCAGCATATCTGTGTTAGATAACAGTGATGGCAAAGCAACCAGGCGTCATTCATCTGGAATGTGTGTTCCACCTCATTGATTTTAAAGTCTACTGCAAACAAGTCTAATAATAAATGTCTGAACGTCCCTTTTTCTGCTGAACTGTTATAACAATGTTGAGTCTATTTTGGCTCATTCTTAAGGGATTTAACAAATTGGACAAATCTGCTGAAGCTGCTTTCAAACTTAAGTTGCCATGTGCTAACTTGCCAAAAAATACAATGTTACATGCTTTGCATTAAGCCTGAAAGTACAACTAAGTAAGCAAAACAAAAGAAACAGCTCTCTGCCTAGTGTGAAATGGACGTCCTCAGTCATGTGTACAGCTAGCATTACCTGAAGCAGTTTAAACTGGTTGTGTTGTTTTTTGTCAGTCAGTGGAGCTTCTGTGCATACATGTATTAAACCTTTGAAGAAAGCCCAAGTCTGGACTTAATATATTTTCGTCAAAAGTTTCTCTTTTTAAATGGGGTTCTCTTATCCCATCATACAGGTGATTTTAAGGTGAAAATAAGGTCAATAATATTTGCTTTGTTTTATTTTTTAGTGAAGGAGTTTCTTGCTAAAGCCAAAGAAGATTTCCTCAAGAAATGGGAGAATCCAGCACAGGTAGGTTTTTCTTTGTCTCTCTTATTTATTTTATTTATGTATTTATGACTGCAAGAACATCTAGCCTGGTTTTTAAAACATGTATGATATTGGTCAGAAATGAAGTGGTATTACATGCAGTTCCCAGGCCCTTATTAAGCTGAAGCCTGGACTAAAAAGAATTTCAAATTGTGATTCACCGTTGTCACTGCAATTAAGTCCAAGGTTAGGCTGAATCCATGTCCAGGAAACTGGACCATAAGGTGATATTTTTAAAATATACTGAAGAAAGAACAATTTTATAGGACTTACTTATGTATAGTTTTTATATTTTGCTCAGTGCTGCATGACCAGTGGTAACCATTTGTACATTTGGGAGCAGTTGCCAAAGTGTACCTCCTGCTGGTCACACTTTGAAGGTCCACTTGTGGCTGAAAAATCCTAGAGGGAGCGGAAAGCATACTTTTCAGAGGCTCTCCATCATGTGTACACATAATGCAAGTTGTGTGCCCCCTTCTGGACACACAATGAAGTTTTTTTTTTTTTATTGACTTTTACCACTGTAATTGTTTTATTTGAATACTAGATCAAGTGAAACAGATCTATATCTGAAATTAATACCATTTTTAGTATCTGTCAGATATTTTGTTTATTATATTGCCCTCCAGCTGAGCTATAGTCATTCACACCAGTGGGTGGGGTGACTATTTGCCTACTCAAGTACTGTGGTGTTAAAAATTAGTTAGTGGCACCATGGAGCCACAAAAATGGAATTAAATATATGTTTTATATGAAAATCAGGAACAGATTCATGTGCAAAAATATTAGGTGCTAATACAGTGGGAATAGTTGGGAATCTAAGGAATATGGTGATTGCCCAGCTTGGATGTTTACCAAGAACATTATTTTTACATGAGAATCAGTAATGTATGTGAGATTTTGCTCCTGTTAATCTTTTGTCTGTTAATCTTTATCTTCTTTGAGTCTGGGGGCTTCCTAGGTTCTTTCACACATAAGTTATTTGCTGCAGACCAGTCAAACTTTTTCTTTAGTTTGGTGCAATTTGGAAGATGTGAATACTCCATCCATACGCTGGTCCACACCAAACAATATTTCATGAATTGATACAGTGCCTTTCTCATACAGACGCACAGAGTAGACTGACCATGGCCTGCCAAAAATCACAGGTCTCGGTCCACTTCTTGTTGAACCCTGGTTTAGTGGTTCAGTTCACAGCTCATTAGAACACATTTTTATGATGGTTTGCACCAAACAGGAATTCGGCGTCAGACGTCCCAGTAGACATCAGAGCTGCACAGGCATAATCTGCTTGTTTTAATATTTGACCATTCACAGCCTCATATAATTCTTGAAGCATGTATAATGTACTTTTGACCATTAGCGACCTCAAATAAATAATCCAGTCAACTATAAAGAAAATCATAAGGGTCAAGTAAGGCTTATTTTTAGTACTTTGTGACTTATGTAGGCATTACGAACCTCTGCTTTCACTTGTATTTTATCATAATAGGTTAATACATTTACAACTGAATCAAACTGTACAACAAATGATAAACAAATTACATGTTTTGTTGTTTGATTTTCTAAGTGAAAATAAGTTAATGTCTTCTATACGGGACAACCTTAAATGTAAAGTAAAGTTTTAACATAGTGGAAAAAAACTAACAGTATAAAATGTCTGCACAGGTCACGTTTCTTTTTATTTTTTTTGTATATTGGTTAAGTTCTGCAACAGTAACAACAGTAATGGTGCATTAAAATAATGGTGCAGAAGTGTGTTCTCTATAGAGGATGTATGAACTTATTTTCATTTAGAAACTCAACAAAATATCATTTTGCCAAAGCACCCTAACTTTTGCATATAACTGTATTTGTAGAGTGCATGTAAGGGACTGATCTGGGTTTTATATACTGATATGTGACTAAAAGTTAAAAACAATGTCTAACGGAGGCAAATGTGAAAGTAACAAAAGTAACTGAGTGCCTGTATCTATGCCAGATTTCTGACCAAAGAACACTCGTATGTGCTTAGTGCACTTCATCCGTTGCAATGTGAAATAAACCAAACCAAATAAAATAAAAGATACAGTGTCTCAAAAATCCAAACTTTGTTGTGGACCTCAGCAAACAAACTAGGTGTGAAAACAGCCTTAGCTCCCATTCAGAGTTCCCATCATCTGATTACTACCCTCCTTACTTGATTTTTCTTTCACTACCAGAACACTGCGTCTCTGGACCAGTTCGAGAGGCTGAAGACGCTGGGCACAGGCTCCTTCGGCCGAGTCATGCTAGTCAAGCACAAAGAAACAGGACAGCACTTTGCCATGAAGATTCTCGACAAACAGAAGGTGAGTTTGCCTAGAGCAAGGAAAACGCAGAAAGGTGCAGGGCAGTGAGGCACCTGCTGTGACTGGTCTGTTTAGGGGGATTAGAAGTGTTTGGTCGGTTGTTGTGAGAAGGTGTAGCTGAGTGCGTTTAACTGATCATCTGTTTGTCGTGTCCTTCAGGTGGTCAAGCTGAAACAGATAGAACACACACTGAATGAGAAACGCATCCTGCAAGCAGTCAGCTTCCCCTTTCTCGTACGGTTGGAGCACTCCTTCAAGGTATACATTTGTTTTTACTGTGTGTGTGTGGCTGTACAGGATTCCTGCCAGTCTTTAAAGTATGGATGGGCAAAGTGATGATATCGTTATTGTGATTTTTATTTTTCTAATGTTTCACAGTGTGCATTTCTGAGCAGTGTTTGGGTGAATTTTCTTAGAAATTACTCTTTGAGCATGTTGTGAATATCGTCAGTACTTAAAGAAAACTGACCAACTGCATGTTTCATTACAAAGAGATCATAATTAGTCCTGTTTAATTGGATTTCGTTCAGTTTGGTATGTGATGTGGAATAAAAATCATTCTTAGTTTTTAAAGGCAGTTTTTAAATGTGGCACTGCTACTATATTTTGTCTGTGTCAAAATATTGTGATGCATATCACAAAAACGTGTAAGTATTGTGAGATACTTTTTTTTCCAAATTGTTAAAAGTTTAAGGTCATAAAAAGGTTTTTTTTTTTTTTTTCTTGGAGGTATTAAATTCAGGAGCGTCTAGGCGTTTGGATATTTTAAAGAATATCAGCTATATTTAGCCCAGTCCATTCTGAAACTTCTGTTTCATTTTAGCGTTGTTCACTTCACTGTCATAGATGCAGGCATTAGCCACAACCTGTAACAGGGAGGTTTTCTAAAGGTAGCAAAGTAAGTCTAAAGGTAGAAAATGAAAATGTGTAATATCTGCAGCTTTAGTGTTTCTACGGTGTTTGAATTAGCCGCCTTTCGTCTAAACGTGGGCAGATAAAATGTGAGTGTGCAGCTATTCTAGTTTGTTTTCTGCTGCTTGTTGTGATTTCATACTGTATTCATACCACTATTAAATGCTTATTTCACATAAGTAGTCTACACAAAAAATTTATTTTTAGATTTTACTGTAGAATATTAAAGTAACTGGTAGCCAAATCAATAGGGAGGTCAATAAAATGATCTGAAGTAAAAAAAAAAACTATGTAGTAATTTTTTTAAAAATGTAAAAAAACTAACATCAGTACAGATGTCATTTTACTGTAATATTTGTTGGTAACCTAGCATATTTTATCTAATTTGTGCAGCCGTATTATCTACGAAAAAAAATTGGATTAGACTCAACATCAGCTGATGCTACATATTACAGATCAGATGGGGTGGGGGTGAATTAAGCCATCCCTAATTAAATTCTAAGATGATTTTTAAAGTTTTCCACCTTTAACTAATTCAGAACACTTTGCCTGTGGAAATGATCCAGCAGACAGTGGTCATTTAGTCAGAAATTGACCTCTGATGAAGGACTAGAGGACGGCAAAACTAGCAAAAAACGCAGATGCACTCAGAAGACGGTGCAAGTGTAATCTCCATGCTTCTTCAGCCAATCACTTTGAATAAAATAGACAACAATACATGGCATTTGAGTTTGGGTGCATGTGGTGAGGTGGAAATTGTATTATTTTTGCTATGTTGAGGTTTTAAAAAGGTATTAAAAAGCATTTAATTTTGTTAAATTAATAGATAATTAAATTAGCACTTAATATGGCATCAGTGAAGCTCCAATTGTGCTTCTTTGTCTGAAATTCCTCAGGACAATACTAATCTTTATATGGTAATGGAGTACGTTCCTGGAGGGGAAATGTTCTCTCACTTGAGAAGAATCGGCAGGTTCAGGTAAGTCTTGACCAATGCACTCCACCGTTACCCATAGGTGACCAAATTACAGTAGTTCTGTACTTAAATGTACTGTAAAAATGTTTGTTCAGCAAAAGTGCAAGGTGATTAAAAATACAAAAATATATGCTTGTCAGTGTATTTAAAGGCTCATTCCGCTGATTATCTAAGTTTCAGCATATTTACATGGTTTAGTTTAAACAAAGTCAGCACTGTCATTCAGAGTGGTTTGGTGTGAAACGCTCTGAGAAACTTACAGAATCAAAACTGTTCACAGTGGTGGTGATAGGAACTGGATACTTTAATGGAGAGTTTAATATCTGCGAAGCTACCTCACAAAAAAGCTTGAAATGATTGTGAATACATGACCTGAAGCATTGTTTTAGTATAGGTTTGAAATAATATTTTTGCCTAAATCTAATTTTTTTTTTAATTAATCCATGACGGAGAGGTATATGAAGACAGGAGTTTATTTTTTCATATTTACCACTCATTTTCAGCATTACATACAAAAACTTGGAAGACGTGCAGGTTCACTGATCATTCTAGATTAAAGTTCCTGCACAGTTGTTTAAAATCTGTGAAAAATAACAATAGCAAACAATTTGCTAATTTTAAGTACCTTCTGTTATTTCCCCAAAACAACATTAAAAAGACTGTTTTAGATTTTCTTTTTTCTCTGTCATCTTTTACCATTCTGCTGTGTGGGCGTGGACCCCAGCGGATTGACTGATGACCTCTGGGTCAAATGTAACCGCCTGGATGGGCAGGCACAGGCAGAACGTAACTGCTGCACCATTTAAGGAGGAACAGGAATTCAATGGCCATCATCAGCTTCGTTTTAATGGTATTTTTGAAATGCAAAACCTTCGGTAAGCTGGCTAAGAAACAGAAATCTGACCATGAACGATACCACCAATCAGCTGCTGTAAGGCTGCTATTTTTCAGGTTCAGGGCCAGGTTCATGTTCAGAATCTTCTTTTTCAGGTTCATACAAGTGAGGCGGCGTTGATGTGATCTGACTTCCAGCCTGCGCCATACTGAAGTGTCTACATCTTAGATTTCTGTTTATTAGCCAGCTAAGCAAAACTTTTGCATTTCAGATATAATTTTACCATGAAGCTGAAGTGTTATAATAACTGTATTATAATAACTGCTGCAACCTTTAAGATGGAATGGGAAAATTCGAACAACAAGCTGGCGAATAGGAAGAAAACTTCAGTCTCATATTGCTGACTGTAAATATATAACTCCAAAATGATCTGAATATGAGCTGGATGAACATTATAATGGCATGTTGTCTCCTTTTTGGGGGGGGGGTGCAGGTGCAATACAGACAAGGCTGTTAAGGGTTACGTTGCCTCCAGTGTGTGTTGGGAAAGCTGTTTCTTTCAGCTTGTGAGCCGGCATATTCAGAGCTGTATTTTCAAATGAGTTGGCAATAAAACACTTAGTACAAACTCTTGTACTGTGTTTCACTTCAACACCAGAAAGTAATTTGAGCCATTTGGATTTGGTCTCGTTATTTGGAATAGAATGTAGAGTGACCAGTGTCCTCCTTGCATAAAAAAACTGGGCATCTGTAAATGGAGTCCCATCTCCTAGTGGCTATAACGTTACTTAAGTAGAGCCATGCGGAGCATGTGAAGTGTGAGAGGCTCAGTTGATTTCACCGTTGATAAATATGCAATATAAGGTTGCTTATGATTCGCTATAGTCACTTACAGTTATCTGTGATGTCTAGGATCACGCCAAATAAAGTGTAATTCCTGGATGGTGGTTAAGGGGCTGTATACTAAAAAAATTTTGCACTTTATGCACTCAATAAATTATGCCCAATAAATGTTGGACTGAAGCAGAAGTTTGAAGATTACTTCATTCCTGCCAGTAAAACGTTCTGAGTAAGGAGGAAAAAAACTCTAACAGTGCTATATTTATGTTGTAGGCATCATAACCTGTTCCTGTCACCACCATTTTAAAGAAATCTGAATTAGCAAGGTTCTATACAGTGCATCATTTCATACCACACTGAATAGCTTGTTACATACATCTCAGTGAATGGTTTATGCAGAAATTTTGGAAAATTACCTTTAAATATCAAAAGTAAATGTACTTGCATGTGGAGTCAGCAGACAGTACAACGCTCAGCTGTACCGCATCTCAGAAAAGTGCTGATAAGCTTAAGCTCATTTTACACTCTATTCGAACAGATTTAGTGGAATAAAACTGTCAACGCCATTTAATGAATTTATCTTGTGTGGTATCTGCTTGATGTAATCCAGATGAAAGGTACAAGATGAAAGAAGTTATGACATGGCAAGGCTAGTAATGTTAGCTGAGGTAACAGGCGACTAGCATTTGTCTGTTTAAAAACAATGTTTTTTAATTTTTGGCCGCTAAAGATTGTCCTTTCAACATAGGGTGATCCTTCAAATAATGCCTTACAAATTTAACTGAAATTTCCATTCCTAGTTATTATAGACTTAATAATATATAATATATTATTTCAATTTACAAGTTTGATTTTAAAATATAAATGGTTGACTTCAATCTGATTAGACCAAAAATGCAGGTGTGGTCAATAGAGAATGGAAACTAGTTGGCCTAACCTGAACTGTATGAATCCACCCAAGCCCTTTTAGCTTATGCACTGTTAGTAGGGCTGCAACCATCAAAAATGTTCATGTTTGCGATGCAATCAAGGTAGGATCTCTTGGCCGCATATGATTAATAATCTAATGTCTGCTCTTCTGCAGTTAAGACAGATGCTGACACCTCATGTTGGAGCTCTTATCCACTATCATGTTACTGAATTAATTTTTCACGGTTATTACTTTAATTGGGAATATTTGTTAGCATTTGCATTTTCAACCAAGTGGTTCAGTCAAGTGGCTTGCTTTTACAGTCCTCTCTCCCTCTGTGTCGTACTCTCTCTGTAGTGAGCCCCATGCTCGCTTCTATGCTGCCCAGATAGTTCTGACCTTTGAATACCTTCACTCGCTTGACCTCATCTACCGAGATCTGAAGCCTGAGAACCTGCTGATAGACCAGCAGGGCTATATACAGGTAAACACACACAGTTCAGAGCATACAGCTCACCTCACGCACCAAACTCACAGTAGCAGACAGTCGTATGCAAACATTTGAGCACCCTGATCAAATTGCATGTTGTGTTGATTTTCTAAGTGAAAATAAGAATCTTCTACAGAGAACACGCCTCCTCCTCATTTTAATGCGCATTTGCTGTTTGTTTGGTGTTTGTTTGTTTTTAACATATTGGGTTAAAAAAACAAAAACATAATGTGGCCTGTGCAAAGGTTATTGGACATTTTATATTTTATGATGTTTTTTTGCAATGTGTTAAACTCAAATAAATATTTAAGTTCGTTCCCTGTAGAGCAGTGGTCACCAACCCTTCTGGAGATGCCCCCCACCAACCCCTCTGTTTCCATGCCCCCTTACTTAACATTAAAGCGTCTGATTCAGCCAATCATGGACTTCGAAAGAAGTTAATAAGCTGGAGTAGGTGCAGCACATTGTGGTTGGAACTAGACTCTGCAGGAAAGTACATCTTCAGGACCAGGGCTGGTGACCAGTACTTGAGATGATGTGTTAACTTATTGGGTTACCGGTTACTATTTTTAGTGACTAATTTTATTTAGTTTAACACATTGGGGAAAAAATAAAACCAAAAATATAAAATGTGCCTGAAGTTTTGTACAGGCAAGATTTTTTTTGTCCCTCTCCCTTTTTCCACTTAGAAAATTAACAAAATATGATGTCAAAACGGACTGCTGTAAACTGTTTAATGACCTTAAAATCATGTCAGTAACATACCAAGGTTTTCACTGCTTTACCATGCATGACACATCAGCCAATTTTCCAGCCATACATGGGCTTAATCACATGTGCTGGAGCGGGTACACCACTAAACTTAATCTAATCTATGTTTTCTTTAAGCAAATGGCAAAATACAATATTACAAAAGCACAATTCACTATCATAGCCATTAATGCGTAACACACCTAAAACACAATACTGGGTGTGAGAATAATCCTAATGTTTTACGCATTAAGTAAATCATGCAGTGGATTTGGAAGGGACTAAAATCATTGGAAAGCTGATAAATACATTACCTCCCTTTTCCATGTAAAACTGGTCCCACATGGAACTTCGATTAGGTAATTTATATTGCAGGCAGAAGATTAATCAACCCATACTTCTTGATTGCGAGCATGTTCAGTGCTAAGAGTGCCTTACAAACCTGCCCTAGCTTGTTTTGGTTGGACGTTTTTTTTTGTGTTGTTTTTAAAATTATATCAAAGGGAACCTTACACAATTTGTTGTAAACATTAAACAGACAAAGTGCATTTCTAGAGAGAAAGCATGCTATGCTATTTTTATTTATTTTTTATGAACTTTAAACAAATTACGTACATTTCAGTTACCTGTCAGGGCTTCAATACCATAAGTGCACAAAATGAAATAAAAAGCTAAAAACAAACCACATGGCAACAACTTTTGTCATGTATCTGATGCTCATTATCTCTCAAATATGTTGCAAAAAGATCACTAAAACTTGAAAAGCAATATCATATGGTATGTAAATATTACAGTATATCCATATCGATGATAGCACTATGCTAAATGTTTGGCATGGAAATTTTATTTAATGATATAGAAAAATCATGGAATTCTTTTGTTTAAAAAATGTACAGCTCCCATGTGGTTGTACAGTGGCTTATGGTCCAAAGAAAAGCTACTCAACAAGCCCACACATTTGAGGCAAATAAAATGAGCTTCATCTATAAAACGTGGATTTAATTGTTTGTTTACATCACTTCTCTCTGCTTCCTTCATGTAGGTAACAGATTTTGGATTTGCCAAGCGTGTTAAGGGCCGGACCTGGACGCTGTGTGGCACTCCCGAGTACCTGGCACCAGAAATTATCCTCAGTAAAGTGCGTACCTGTGGCTGTGCTAGCGATCCCATTCATAAGCAATGAATAAATAACCTTTCACACTGATGCGTTCTCTCACTGAGTCATGTTGTAACACACTGACACTCACATGCTTATTAGTCATAGTAGGCCTAAATTTGTAGTAAGTGAGAGAGCGCATAGACTGAGGTTCTGTGCTGTAATTTCTCTATGCTTTTTCTCTTTCAGGGCTATAATAAAGCTGTGGACTGGTGGGCTCTTGGGGTCCTGATTTATGAGATGGCTGCTGGTTATCCTCCCTTCTTTGCTGATCAGCCCATTCAGATCTATGAGAAGATTGTCTCAGGCAAGGTGAGTGAAGAAGAGGAACAAACCTTTAGTGCCATCCGTCACTTCTGAGTTGCTCTGCAACAAAGGCAGTTTATGCAATGTGCTAGCTGTCATACAGGAAATTAATAGTCAGGAAGACACTTAAGCAGCGCGAACGCCACACAATTTTTACCCCTGATTTACTCCTTTGAACAGATTTTCATAGTTGGAAGCAGTTTTCCAGGTCTCGCGCTTGATCGGAAGTAATTGAGGACAGATGATCCAGCATTGTGAGAGAGGATATGTGTCGGTGTTCAGTCTTCCGATTGAATTCTCCTGCGATCACAGGCTGATTTTTACGTCTCATAGCTTTCACGAGTCAAAGATGCTCAGCGAGGTAGCTGAATTAGTGATTTAGGCAACAGCCAGTGAGAGGGCAAGGTTGTATGCACAGAGGTGGAGGAGCTGCTTGGTGAATACTGACAGATGCTTGAGTGTCTTTAGTAACTTGAAGTGCCTTAAAAACCACGGGCTAGATTCTCAGAGTTCATAGAGGTTACTAACGACAGCCGTAGTATCAGCCTTATGACCCTCCTAGCCTAGGACCACTCTGACTGGCTAGTGACCTTCCCCACGCTTCATTCGCAAAAGAAAGACAGAATACGTTAAGGCAGTCGTGGCGTAACTCCGGGGCTTTACCCTTGAGGGAAGGTGGCACATCAGCTGCTTTCATGTTTACCAAAGACTGACACGTTTCAGTATGCAAACAGCCAATGGGAAATTAGTGAGGAAGCCCACATAGTACATCATTGCCCTTGGACTAGTATAAACAGCTGTAAAAGCGTACATTTATTGTATGTTATTATGTGTGTTTTTGTATTGACATATGTACCTCATCATTTATGTTGTTAGTACAAATAAATGCAAAAATGCAGTAAAAAATGACAGGAACTTCTGTGGAGTACAGTTAAATCATAAGACAAGTGGAATGGTCAAGTTCTTTATATTATTGTGTATTTTAAATTGTATTATGACAATTTATTTTAATCACTTCTGTCTTCTATGGGCTTTGTTAACTCCACCCTTTAAAAATAATTGCTATAGGATTAAAAAAAAAAAAATACAGAAAATAATCACTGGAGCTGCCAGTTACAACAGAGGCTTGGAAGATATGATGCTTCTGGTGGGTTATTTGTGCTCTAGGTGCTTTGAGAATCTGTCCCCAGAACTTCAAGGCCCTTGCACAGTTTACCAGTTTGTAGTAAAATGCTTCTACAGTTCTCACTGCAGAATAGAATGATGTTGGCTTTCCCAACCCCATATCCATCCACAGTTTCTGTACCAACAAGTCTGTTCCGGTTTAGCTTTTTTGTCTCATGATAACGATGAGATTTTGGATTTTGAGCACTTTTTAGTGTGTTATACCCTCATGCCTAATTGCCTAGGTTACACACCCTCATGATAAAAAGACATACAATTCTACAGAAGACTGACGTTAACTGTGAGATGCTGTCTGCTTTTGCAGTCTTTTGTGTAGTGTACACCTGGTTTTAAATATTTATCCACTGATGTGGCAACTTAAAGTTCAGAGATAAATCAGATTTGCAGTTTTCCTTTTATCCCAAATGTCAATGAGCCAAGACAGTGTGCTTCTTTAGTTTTACATTGGAGCTACAAAGTTAATGTAGCTAACATGTAATAGCAGCTATACCCCACCAATTAGTATTGTGAAAACTGAATGCCGAAATCATTACACTCTCCTTGAACCGCAGACTTTCTTATACGGTTTCTGACACTGTGTGACATACTTTTATCTATAAAAATGGGCTAAATTTGTATCATAAGTAAAAACAGAGGTAGCCATCTGGGAGCCTGAATTTTGTCTGTACATTTGTCCATTTTTATAGATCATACATTGTCAGAAACAAGTCTACTTGAGATTACTTAACAACTTTACACAGATTGAGGCAAAAGTTTGCACGGTGCTCAGAAGTCTACATATCGTTCCATTATCTGTCCCCTGCGTTATTTCTGTAACTCCAGCACAAAACTAAAGAGGCAGATTTCTAAAGCCAAACATTTCCTTCGAGTGTGGATGAGTGTGAGTGAGCATCTCCCGTCCTCTGCTGAGTGTGGTGCTCCTCTGGTTCTCCTGTTCTGCTTTACTCTGAGCTTGTGCCTTCTGTTCTTCTCCTCCCCAGGTGCGCTTCCCCTCCCACTTCAGCTCGGACCTGAAGGACCTGCTGCGAAACCTGCTGCAGGTGGACCTGACTAAACGCTTCGGCAACCTCAAGAATGGTGTCAACGACATCAAGGGCCACAAGTGGTTTGCCACCACTGACTGGATCGCCATTTATCAGAGAAAGGTGAGAGAGCGCCAAATAACATGGCTTGAACATAAGCGGAGGTCTCAAGTTGGTTAAGACTTTAGGACATTAGTGAACCTTTTTCAGGAGAAAGACATTGTTCTTTTTGTTTCCCAAGTAATTAACGGCATAAAATATACATTTCAGTGCATTGATCTGAAGGTGTTTTTTTAACCGCATTGATTTTGGAGAGCTTAAACTTACTTTCATTGATTACAGTAATATTCAGTTACGTATGCCCTCATTGGTCAAAATAAAATTCTCAGGCTATTTTCAACCTTAAAGGGAACTTCCACTAATTTTGTTTTTAGAATGTCTGCATAATTCAGTGTATGAAATGTAAACAAAGTCGTGCAGAGTGATTTAATGTAAAGTGGTTCATTTGGTGCTGCCATTTTATTCACCATCTGTGAGTTGTGAGTTAATATAATAGAAGTCAGTGAGGTTTTTCCACTGATTACAAACCCGTGATCACACACAGTCATTTCCCCTGCCAATAAACCAATGCCACCCCTAAGTGTATAAGCTGAGTTTGGTTATCCTTCCTGCCAGAGTACCAAATATGCCAAGCTGGAGTGCATGGATGAAGCTAGAAATGCTGCAGACCATTGATTGGTCAAATGTAATAGTCAGATATTTTCCCTTTTTATAAAAACACTAACTAGACAGAGTTGCTGTCTGTAACACTGCATATCATTTTGAAAGCTAAATTAGAGGTTAAAGCTGCTTTTGTTTCACTATTAACATTAGCACCAAGAAAGAAATCATGTTACCACCACACAACCTCTAAAGAACCCTGACTACTTGCACTTTTCTTGTGTGCATAGGGAAACAAACAAACCTTTAGATTTCCATTACTTTTTAGCTACATTAGTCCTGTTACCACAGTGCAAAACTAAGGAAGGAAACTTTGGACACCAAAAATGTCTTGACTGATCAGCTACAGTGGGGTCCGAAAGGCTGAGAACAAACGGAGCACATTTAAACCTGAACAAAAGAGAGTTTTGTAGGACAAGTGACATGAAGAGAACATTTTTTTAGATTCTGCATATTTGTATTTCACCCTTCAAATTTAAGCAAATTTGTGATGTTAACCATATTATAACCACATAGTTTTTATTTATTCTTTTTATTTATTTATTTATTTTTTATTATTATTTTTTAGTGTATTCCCATTCATATTTTGTTTTAAAGTTCACCTGAGCGATTAGAACACTTAAATGGTCAGCCATGACATCCTGCTTCACTCTGGTAGATATATGATTATATGTGTATACATACTTATTTGTGGCACACACAGATATGAGAAACATATATTTCCTGATTAAAAATATTTTTTTTCTGGAATCATTGTACTTGTAGAGATTAGATTTTTATTAATATTCTGAATGAATGATGGAAAAGATAAGTAAGAAAAAATGTTTTTTATTTTTGTTTGTTTTTTTTTAACAGCCTTTTTTGCTCATGTTTTCCAGGTGTGCCAATATTTGTGGAGGGCACTGTAATTCTGAACTGAACCTAAATAATCGAATCAAATGTCATATTTCGTGATAATCTGTAATCTGATCAATCAGTGAAATCAGAACCTGTTATAACCTCTACGTGTTTGTCTGTGTCTTAGGTGGAAGCCCCCTTCATCCCCAAGTGTAAAGGACCTGGGGACACCAGCAACTTCGACGATTACGAGGAAGAGGAAATCCGAGTCTCGTTCACAGAAAAATGCGGAAAGGAGTTTGCTGAGTTCTAGACCCAGCCAGGAGCAGTGGAGGGAGAGAGCGACGGAGTGGTGAAGACGAAGGGGGGCGGCAGAAAGAGAGAGATGATAGACTGGACTGAGCCTGTATTCAGTAACAACAACAATGATGTAGACCCCCCCACACACAGAGATGGAGAGAGGGAAAACAGAGTCCCAAGAGAGAGCCAGCAGTGTTGTTGCCTTTCGAGATCGCTTATCACTTATTACTATACTTATCCGTTTTCATCGTCTCCCTTTGGTTTGTAGAGAGGGTCCTCTAGGTAGAGGTGCAATCATCTCTCTGGATTTGGTTGGCACGGGGCACAGAGCTTAATCTCTGGTACTGAATTGTGGTTCGTCCAGGACACTTCACTCCTGGATAGCAGCTTCTTAATCGAGCGCGGCGGCCGAGCCTTGCTCTGTTCTTCTCTACCCTGTTCCGTGTTGTTTCACTGATTTTCTTTTTTCCCCTCTTCTGCATCTTTCCAGTCAAATCTGTCCTAGCAATACCAAGTCAAACTAGCCAGCCTAATGGCAGTAATGGAAAACAGGTGGGGAGGGATTCTTTTTTCCTCCATAGTGTGGCGTTTGGGGCGCCTTGTCTTTGGTAGAATGGCAAGCTCCCCTTTGTCATTTCCTCAAAATTAAGCTTGGCAACATCACCCTGTCCCACTTTTTTTTCTGTCCTCTTTTTCATACATACTTCTCACGTTTGGTACATTTTCAGACATGTTTAGGCAGTGTTGACCACTTAAAATTGTGAAATTGTCCCTCAATTTTAACTTGTGTGTGTGTGTGTTTTAAACACATGCATTATGACTTGGACTTTGCTAGCAAGTTTTAGTTTCTAACAGTCAGCTCAAATCTCAGCAGTGGGTTTCACAGCAGCCATAGTGGAGGAAGCTCTGTGGTTTTAAAATGGCCTCCGCACTCCTGAATATCAGTCTTTGGTAGCATGTGTACTGTTAAATGATGGACTGCAGCTCATTACCTTGATGTCTTTTCCTTTCAGCTTTTTTGTTCAGCTTTGAAACCTAAATGAAGGGTAAATCAAATCACCTTAACTGCCGAAATGGAAAAAGGAAAAAAAATGTGAAGTTGAGTTGTTCAAGCACAAAACGCTTGTTAGTTGCAGTGGAGCTGGTTGATGTGTTGACATGAAAAAAAAAAAAAGTAGCAAAAATCTCTCCGGAAGGGAAAAAAAAAAAGAGTTGCATGTTATTTTTGTACTGCAAAATGTTAAAGCAGGACTAGGTTTCAAGGTTTCTGCTGCAGTGATGGTGTGTTTACTCACTGTATGTCCTGCCATTCAGTGAACAAACCCCACAACCTGCGTTTTAGATCTGGAATTGGGGAGTTCAGTTCTTAGAAAAATCCTTTGAGTGATGGGTAAGGGATGAGGGTTTTTTTTCTTTTTTGAATGCCCACTACAGAAAGCTGCCTTTAGTGAACAACTCTAATGATCGTACATGCAGGCAAGGCATCTTTCTTTTTTCTTTTTAGTACAAGTCTTTAAAAATCAAGTATCCAGATCACACAATTTTTTTCTTTTTTTTTTTGACTACCCATCCAAAATGAATTGCAGGATGCTCTTATGGCTATTGGTGGGGCTTTCTATGTGTGTAATAAATTGGAAAGCTATGGAAGCCCATTCCCCCCAGGTAGAGCAGAAATAGTAGCCTGTTTTTTTTTTCTGATTTTCTGTTTACAGCAGCAGTAGGTAACATTTTTGATGTAGTTTCTTGAAATAATGATTTTTCTCAAAGTATATAACTTTTTTCTAAATAATGAGTTGCTTTTAATGAAATATTACCTTATTGTCAAACAATATTGACTTATTTTCTTAAAATATTGATTTTATTTCTTGAAATAAGGACTTTTTTGTGAAATATTAACTTTTTTTGAGATTTTGAGTTCAGATGAAGTTCTGACTTTACATGTGAAAATAATGAGTTATTAAATTTCAAGAAAGTAATTATTTCAGGACATTGCAAGTCAAGTCAGTTTCAAGATAATAAGGCAAAATGTTGAGAAAATAAGTCATTATTTTTGAAGTGCTACGTCAAAATGTGGTTGTACATCTGCCAGAAACATCCTCTACCTGGTGGAAATGAGCTTCCCTAGTAAGCAGAACTCCTGTGCCCTCATTTTAAATTAAAATCTAGTTCTTCGACATGGGAGCTATGAGAACATGGGGGGAGAAAAAAAGTAATTCTTGCTCTTTAATTCTGTAGGATGCAAGACAATCTAAACCCAGATATCTCAGAGATGTTCATAGTGCCCCATCATGTGCAATAATGCAAAACATTTGTGGTAATTATTTAGTTTATTTTAAACATAGCTTTGCTTGTGTGTGTCATCGTGTGCAGAAGCTCGTTTTTTTGCTTTCAGCACTGTCATACAGGAGTCAGCGGTTTGCTGTGGAAGGCTGTTGGTAGGTGCCGTCCTAACCGCTCCTACTAAATCCTGCATTTCTGTGATTTGTATGTGATGTAACTGAGGATTCTCAAATTTTTTTTTTAATGAAGTGTGTTGTAGTTTGATTTACTTTTACTGAATGTTCTCAAAGCTAATGAATTGGTGCCAGCTTAAAAACAGATCTTTGGGGGGGGGAAACAATGTATGTCTTTGGATGAACAGAAGTATCTCTTTGACATGGCTGTCGAGTGAAAAGGACACTGTTTGAGAAATGCTTTGTAATGTTTTGTTTGTCCACATTTTCCCTACTGTAGAAAGCCAGTGTCATTCAGGCCTTCGACTTGCACAGCCGAAACAGTAATTGGGATGCAGGCTTTGCTCGTTTGAGGTGGCAGAGAAGTAACTTTGAGGGAGGGGAGAGAAACGACCCCCAATGGCAGTGTCCCACGTTGTAGGGCTGCTTAGAACTCAAAACAAAATGAGCTTTGGATTATTTAATTTTGCAGTTGCCACCTGTAGGCTTACATCACCATGGATATTTTCGCTCACATTATTATTGTTATTATTATTTTCTCTTTTAAGACTCCAAAGCATAAATGAATGGGGGAGACAGCTTCGCCTCCTGGTTTTGTATAGCTCAAGTGCTGGGGGGAAAAAAACAGTGTTCTAGGAAAACTTACTGAAGTACTTTTTAAAAAAATTAAATCGACAGACTTTGGCTTGGCTGCAGTGGTATTTTGACAAGAAAACTGGCCAAGGACTATCTCCTATTAATATACTGTGTCAGAGGATGTACCAAAGTGGTTCAGATTGGAGCCTTTCCTTGACTTTTTGCCCAGGACCCACATGTATAAAGCTTGTCAAAGTGAAACAGATCTGTGATCTGTTACGGCCTTTCATATCCTGATGGACACAGTCATATGAAACGGGTGGAGTCAGTCCCAGACAAGCACTTCTACTATGTGTCTTGTTCATGTGGGCCCTGAATGTACTGGGATAATATGGGAGTAAATCTATAAGCAGGTTCTAAGCAGATTATCTGCAAACAGCATCTAATCGTTTTCCAGCAACCAAAGATTTATGGGAAATGCTCAGATGCACCACTCCTGAGACCTCTTCTGACCGAGTATGTAAATAAGTGATAAACCTTGCGTTGTTCAGCTGTTGCAGTCACCCACTCTATGTCCTCTTGGTTCTCTGGGCCCAATTCCTCTCTTGAAACATGTTTGGTGTCCCACGTCCCTCCGTCTCCTTCTCATCCCTTCACTATATTGTCAATCAGCTATTTTGTGTGCATCAGTCCACGCTTCAATTTGCCTTTGTACACATCCAGTTTCCTACACTCTTCTATTTGCTTTTTAAGATCATGAAGAAGAAAAAAACATTGATTTACTTTTTTTCATATTTTCTAAGTGTATTTTCAATAACAAGAAACTCTTTCCTCCCGACACAGGTATGGTGATGGTGTAGTTTATTGTACCTTTTCGGGGAAACAATACTGTATATTCTCTGCCTTTAACAGTCTTAATTATTTTACCTTCTGGAGAACTTGACAGATACCCGTAAGACACATGGAGTATGTTAAAATTACAAAAAAAAAAAAAAAAATTACAAAAAAAGTACACAGAATAATATTTTGCAACATGTATCATTCCAATAAAGTTTTAATTGTTAAAATTACAAAAACGTTGGTCCTGTTTGAAATGTTATTTTAATTTATTAATAATGGACCTCTGTGTATTTAATAATATTGAAAAATCTCTTATTTTGGATTTTAAGGCTTTATTTATGAAGCAGTTGATGCATTTTATATATTTAGTAAGAAACAGCTTATGAGATATAAAATGGTTGATTTGTGGATTGGACGTCCTTTTTATATAAACATTCAGTTTTTAATATAAACTACCTTTTCACTTTTATCTTTTTTAATGTTAGGGATTTAGTGCGAAAGCCTTTCTCTCCTTATTTATGTATTTCTGAGTGTTTATTTTACGGTGTCAGACCTCCTGCATCTTTTTCATTCCACCTTAAATCCCTCCGCCCCCTTGTGGCGGTTGCGCGCGCGCCAATCCAGGCCGTTCCACCTTAAGCGCACGAGGCGCCGAACGCACGCGCGCGCGGCGGTGCGATGTTTCCGCTCGCTCGGACCGCGCGGCTTCCAGCGGGGCAGCAGCGCGAAGCCTGGAGATAAAAAATTTTAAAAAACGCCCGAAAACAAAAAAAGGAGTTCGGAGCAGCGCTCACTGCACCCCGCCGGCAGCGCTGGGCACGGACGGACGGAGGAAGGGAGCGAGAGAGAGAACGACAAAACAAAAGCGAAAAAAAAAAACCCCACAATAATGTCCGAGCCGAGGTTCCGCGAGTGGATTCTGGACACGATAGACTCGCTGAGGTCGCGGAAAGCGCGGCCGGACTTGGAGCGGATCTGCCGGATGGTGCGGCGGCGGCACGGCTCGGAGCCGGACCGGACCTGCGTGGAGCTGGAGAAGCTGATCCAGGAGCACGCGGTGCTCAAAGTGAACTACAAGGGCTCCGTGTCGTACCGCAACGCCGCCAAAGTGCAAAGAGGCCGGCGGAAACTCGAGCAGGCGTCCGCCCTCAAGCCCGCGGCCAAGCGAGCCTGCACGGCCGAGGTGAACCGCGACGGAGGCGGCGACAATGCGCTGGGACCAGCCGACGAGGAGCCGATGGAGGACGGGGAGGTGAGAGAGAGCGAGCCGGTCTGGGAGAGAGAGGGGGGAGGTGGAGGTTGTGGAGGAGGAGGAGAAGGAGGAGGGGGTGCTCGGCCAGTCTGAGGCGAAGTAGAGAGGATAAATTTAACATTTCGAGACACAAAGTGTGGGATTAGTGAACTAGTTCGTCTGAAAACGACAACGCAAAAGCAAGTGCGCACACACACTCACACACTCAGTTAACGTTACTCGTTCGCACGCGCACACACACACACGAGCGAACTGGCGCAGACGGACGGGGAGCGGCACTAACGTTATCGTTAGCTTCTCCTCCGAGTGCGTAAAAACGCCAACAACAACGAAAAGCGAGTGCTTTCGGCCCTCCGCCGGGCCGAGCGGCCTCTCGAACACTTTTTCTGGTTTGGGGTTTTTTTGTCTTAAACGCGAGAAAAATTCCACTCAGGTAGCTTAGCTGGCTAACACTAACGTTAGCTGGCTAACATAAACAAAAGCTTTTCGTGGCCCCGGTGGGTTTCTCGGCTGGTTTTGGGGGTGTTTTGTCATGTTTTTTAACACGGAGGAGGTTGAAGTTGGAGAGAAAGTCACTCACGAAGAAAAAAACAACAAAAACTAACCCATCGCGGATGTGGGGAACCGAGCGACCGGAGCGACTCTGTGTGTGTGTGCGTGAGAGTATGTGCGTGTGGGGGGGCAGGAGGGGGAGGGGGCGACGGCTGAGTTAGCGTTAAAGGACGTTTTTAACCACAAAAGCATCGATAAACTTGCATATATTTTATCGCCAAATTACAAAAAAATGCAGTTTGTCGAGAGAAGCCGACCCCCCTCCTTGTCTCAGAGGAGGACGGTGAGTTGGCTGAGCGTAGACGCGGGAGGGGGGGCGGTGGAGGTGGGGGGACGGAGACACACACACATACACATACACACACACTCACACACACACATACACACACTCTCACACCGCTATGGCAGAAAAAAGACGGTTTTTGAACGCACAAGCTGTTACAAAGCTGAAGTCAGCTTCTTATTCGCCAGATTCTTGTTCGAATTTTTCTCGTTCCACCTTAAATGGTGCAGCAGTTACATTGTGGCGCCCCAGGCTGCACCATTTAAGGTGGAACGGGGAAAATTCGAACACGAATCTGACTTCAGGCTCGTCAGGCTGTTTAACAGTCGGCGGAAATAACGGGCAGCTGGGGAGCTCGGCGGTGTCTGCGATACTGTAAAGCTGCAAAGCTTATTCGCTCCGACTGGCAACATCACTGATGTGCGTTTGCGGCTGCCGGTCATGTCGGATAAGCCACGCGTTCATCGCTAGTGTGTGTGTGTGTGTGTGTGTGTGTGTGTTTTTCTTCCCTCGTCCTCTGTGGCGGCAGCAGCGCGCGCCTCTCGGAGCCTCTGAGCGCAGGGCGGGATCTAAGTTCAGCGCAGCAGCGCCGCTTCTCTGAGCGACGACCGACTCGTGAACGAATCGGCTCGTGGGAACCGATTCACAAGTTCGACTGAACTTTTTCATCCCGTTTAATGCGAGTGTCCAGTCGTGTCCGCTAAGACGAACCGTGCTAGTTTGTCGAAGTGTTCTACCGTAGCGCATCTTTATAGATGGCTCTCTGCATAAAACTGTAGGTAGCACGTTTTCATAACCTAAAATCATCTAATCCAAAAAACGTATACCATTGAAATTAATAGGTCACTCTAAAAAAGGTGGTTCTTCAAGGGTTGTTTAGTAAAGAAAATGGTTCTGTATGCAACCATGACCACTCATAGAACCCTTTGATCAGAGGGTTCTTTGCATTATGAAATGGTTCTTCAGATTGATTGAGAATATGCTGTAGATGCTTCATGTAGAACCGTTTTGAAAAGGGTTCTAGGTGGCACCCAAAGGGGTTCTTCTGTTGTTACAAGTTTGACATCATAAAAATGGCAGAACGCTTTTTGTGCTATATAGAACCATTTTCTAAAAGGTCCTATATAGAACTATCTACAGCACGTTCTCCAGCAATCTGAAGAACTCTTTCACAATGCAGAGAACCCTTTAATCATACAAAGGGTTCTTTGAGTGTTCATTAAAAAAAACAAACATTTTAAACACACAAAAGCGAGTGCTTCCTGTAGGGCCGGTTGTAGTTTTTCAGAACTTCCTCCCACCTTTTGAAACACCATCAAAGGAGGTTTTTCCTGGCTTTGCCACAGTTTATGTAATAAGCATTGCTTACAGTAGTAATAATTTTTGCAATTTGGCCTTATAAACGAATCTGCAGACATGCAGATTTAACATGCACATTACCAAGAAAGTCCACAGGGCTCCCTTAGAGCTCTAATTCTGCTGTTCATCTAGGCTGTAAGAGCGATAACGTGGACTTTCAGAGAGGCTGCTTGGGATGCAGCTTTAGCAGGCCTGAGAAAATACAAAGAAAAACACATGTGATGGCAAACAATACAGAAGCAGTTTAATAAAATAAATGACTCCCTGGACCTGAACCCACCTCTGCTCTAGCGATAATCTGTACAGTCTCTTTGAGCGCTGTCTCTGCAGGCCGCTGTTAGTCACTAAGAGTCAATTTTGTCACATTCATTCTCACCACAGCTTTGTTTTGACTGAGAAGCATCATTGGTCCTCTGGGACAAGGTGCTACCTTCAGCATTGATGCACGTTGCTGGTTTGTTGTGGGTGTGTTTGTGGGTGGAGATCGATGCAGGCGAGAAACTTATTCACGCTTGGAAGTGAAAAATGATGACTGGAGTTGTGGTTTTTCATAACGTAGCAAAAATGGCACATGAGAACAGTCGCTGTTCTACTGCATATATTTATAGCTGGATTCTACAGCTCTGAGTGCAAGCTGAGAACAGCAGTTAGCTTCTCCGTTTTGTTTCACGTCAGGGTACGGATGTAAAATGCATAGGATTGGTATTTCACATTGACTGTAAGTATAGGACAGTAGAGACTAAAGAGTAAACAGTGGACAACTGGACAGGGTCATGAAAAAAATGGTTAGTCCTTAGCATTAGTGACTATTTGTTGGAGTGGGCAATATGACAAAAATTATCACAGTACTTCAAGACATTTTCACAATATGCATCTTTATATTTAGTTTTTCTGATATTTAGTTGGCAGCACGGTGGCGCAGTGGGTAGCGCTGTCGCCTCACAGCAAGAAGGGCCTGGGTTCGATTCCCGGCTGGGTGACCAGGGTCGTTTCTGTGTGGAGTTTGCCTGTTCTCCCCGTGTCTGCATGGGTTTCCTCCGGGTACTCCGGTTTCCTCCCACAGTCCAAAAACATGCAGTCAGGCCATTTGGACATGCTAAATTGCCCCTAGGTGTGAGTGAGTGTGTGAATGTGTATGTCTGTCTGTCTGCCCTGCGATGGACTGGCGACCTGTCCAGGGTGTATCCTGCCTTCCGCCCAATGACAGCTGGGATAGGCTCCAGCACCCCACCGCGACCCAGAAGGATAAGCGGTTTAGATGATGGATGGATGATATTTAGTTAGGAAACATCAAGTTGGAACAGACAAAATAGAACTTAGTGCCATATATAAGAATACTATTATAATAATAATAAACCTACAGCTACACTGATTTTTGTTCAATGTTCAAAAACCAATTATACAGGCTTAATTGTGCTCAGTTTGCAGTAAACGTGTAGTTAGTGTTCTTTAAGTACTGACGATATCCGTGATATGATCACTAAAGCAAATTGGAAAATATCACGAGAATGATAAAATATTGTCATATGCTCCACCCCTAACTGTTTGTATATGTATTATCCATCCCCACAGATTGGTCTTTGATCTTTAGTCAGTGTTGCATCCTGGTTTCTCTTTCTGTTATTTCTGTGTTTTGGACCTTTCGAGTCTTGCTAGTGTCAGAGAGCACAAGTACACTCTCAAAAACAATGGTTCTTCAAGGGTTCTTTAGTAAAGACAGTGGTTCTTTCTAGGACTATGAACACTCAAAGAACCATTTGCATGGTTCTTTGCAGGGGGGAATGGTTCTTTGATGGAGAATGTGCTGTAGATGGTTTTAAACAGAACCTTTTTGAAAATGATGTCAAGCTTGTAACAGTAGAATAATATAGAAACGTTTCCAAAAAGGTTTTGTATAGAACCACATACCACATTCTCCATCAATCTGAAGAACCATTTAATTATGCAGATGGTTACACTGTTCATGGTTATAGATAGAACCATTGTCTTTACTAAAGAACCGTCTTTTTTAGCAGAGAAGTAGAAGTAGTGGCTTGTGAATCAATGAACGAACCGACGTTCGATTCATTGAATCGGGCGGTCCGAAAGAGCCGGTTCAGAGAACTGAACCGAATCAGACCAGCCATGCTTCGCGCGGGCAGCAGCGCGCGCTTCGGAGCGCGTGCGTGTGTTGGAGGGGGGATGGCGCGTGCTGGAGTGGGTTGGGTTGGGGTAGGTGGGTCTCGGCTCTTTCTCTCGAGTTTGAGGAGCGCCTCAGCAGCCTCGAGCTGGTTACGCAAGGACGCGCGCGCACATACGCGCGCACGTCGTGCGCTCAAAGGCGCAGAACAGCAGCCTCGTCCGCGCGCACACAAAACACGCACGCGCACGAAAAAACAAATAGAAGTTAAAACAATGCACGGAGGGGGTGCACCGCAGCTCGCGGGTCGTGAGCCGCTTTTGTAAACGCGCCCGTTTCCCCGGATTCGAAGTTTGTAGCTCGGCTCGCGAGCCGGGAGGCGGCTCTTTTCTGCTTTCTCTCCTTTTCTCCCTCCCGTTCGGCTGTTCGTGAACTAGCACGAGCACAGCGGCGGCAGTCCTGACCTTACGAAGCTGAAGTCGGCTTCCTATTCGCCAGCGTCTTGTTCGAATTTTCCCGTTCCACCTTAAATGGAGCAGCAGTTACTGTAACAGCTGCACTATTTAAGGTGGAACGGGAAAATTCGAACAAGACGCTGGCGAATAGGAAGCCGACTTCAGCCTCGTCCTGACCTTTCAGCTTGTGATACGCGGTTCCAGTTAAAGCGCGATTGCTAGCGAGAGCTTACACACATGGAATGTCCCCTTTAATAAAAACAGCGCGTGCTAACGCGCGCTCTGCCTGTAAGTTAGTCCAGATGCAAAGGTCAGCCATATTGTGAGTGTGATGATGCATCGCGGTTTCAGTCATGGTTTGATTTGATGATTTCCACCGTTTGTTTTAAAAGGGGAGTTCCCGATTTTTCATAACCTCTGCATAATTGCGTTGATAAGTTGTAAACAAAGTCATTCAGAGTGGTTTGATGTGAAATGCTCCGCAGTAGAGCAACTTACTGAATCAGAACTGTTCACAGTGGTGGTGAGAGGAACCAGACATCTCAGGACTTCAGGATCATTATTTAATACATTTATCAGCACATCAGCATTATGTATAAAAAATTACGACTTTATGATTATTTATGATGACTATATGATTACTTTATGAGCATTATGTGTAAAAAATCTGAAGACACGTGTAGGTTCACTGGTTTGGAAAGTAAATGAAATGGATTTCTGGTTCATGTCACCACCACTAAGAAAAGATTCGGTAAGATTCTCTGTAATGAGCCATTTCACATCGAACCGCTCTGAATGACTTTTCGGTCAGCAATTGAATCCCAGCAATAGAGTAATGCAGAATTATAGAAAAATTGGTGGACTTACCCTTTAACATAACGTGAAGACATTCTGTTAGAAAAGCATTCACAGGCTCATATCCTACATCTTTTGCTTACATTTTGTTGTATTTTTTTGTATTTTTTCCCGAGGTTCACATGCAGCGGGGCCCAAATGTCAGAGACTACACTGAAAATCTGGAATGTTCTTTTTCATTTAAACCTTAAGAAGTTTGGAAAAAATAAAAACAAGTGAAAGTTATGACAAAGTTTGTACAAAAACTGAAACCCTTGTTCAGACAACTCTCAGGAGGGTTTGATCTACTGATCATGGGCTTTTCCACAAACTTGTGGACTCCATGCCAGCTCTAGTGCACGCTGCCATTTAAAGCAAAAGCGAGACATACCAAATACTGAGGAATTCTGAAATTTGAGTAAATATATTCAAAGATGATACTTCTTGCTGAAACTGTTATGCTGATAATATGGTTTGTAAAGAAAATGTTGCATCAAATTCGAAAAGAATGCAAAATATTTAAAAAAGAAAATTGCAAAAATAAAAAAGATTTCACTAGTGGTACTTGGTTTTATGTACCAAAAACAGTCATAAATAATTTTTCTGACTATTTTTCAATGTTGCTTTGTACTTACTAAACAGGCTGTATTGTTACTGTGCTGTTTAGACTGATATTTGCAAATGACCTAATTTCTGATTGGCTTTCCTGTATAGTAACTTTGTTCAAAAAGCAGTCCAGGCTGCAACTCTTCTTTTAACTTCAGTGTGAATATGTGGGGCTAAACTGCAGTACGTGGACATATGTTAAATGTGTGTGAGTGTGTGTGTGTGTGTATATATATATATATATATATATATATATATATATATATATATATATATATATATATATATATATATATATATATATATATATATATATACACACACACACATCTTTTTTTAGGAAGAGATATTGCATTTTTAACTTGTAAATCGGTTGTTCCCTGGTTACCAAACACTAACTTAAGACAAACTAATTAACCAGGTCATGTGCAGAGCATGAGGTCTTCAGGCCTGGGATTGGAAACTCCTGATGTAAGCCTTCCTGCTAATCTAAAGTTACAGTTCAACTGTCAGGCTTGGTCCAGTTTTCACTATTGAAGTCAAAGTTTAGCTCTCTGACCCCACCTTGCTTTTTTTCAGGATGAGCTGTCCACCACTGCTGGCCTGGACAGCAGCATGGACGAGGAGGAGGCCAGTCTGGATGCGCCATGCATGCAGAGCACCACTGACTCCGGCATCGGCCTGAGTCCCATCACAGACGCTGGATCCAGCCTGCCTGCCGCGTCTCCCAGCGCCCCGAAAAGCTCTCCCAGCCACAGCAGCCTGGAGCCAGAGAGAGAGACCCCACACGCTCCCCCCGAGCACACACAGCCCGCCGCTCAGCAGGACACAGGTACTTACACAGCACTGCACCACACTGATCCTTCTAGCAGTGCCAACAAGTAACCCAGTGACTGAACAGAGGTGCTCATTTATTAGGGATGTATTAGGGGTGTCTGACCTCATAACAACAATTCAGTTTGACTCATAATTAGTGAATGATTCAGAGGATTCTGAAGGCTGTGTCCAAAACTTAGGGCAGCGGTCTCGATGCCTTGCTGCCAATGCTGTGTCTGTTTGAGACACACTTTGAAAGCAGCATCACAACATTGCCAAGATACCAACAGCTCAGTGCTAGCTGTAAGCGTTTAGCTGTATTAGCATTAGCCTTCAGATTTCTTTCACCAGAAATACAAATGTATTTAAAAGTTATTATCATAACCAAAATGTGATATTTTACATAAATTTGTTTAAGTTCTAATGCTTAAAAAGTGCCAGCGTTTCACTGGCTGTATTACATGAGCTGACATGAGTTACACGCCTGCTATTTTAAAATGACAAAATAAGAAAAAATACTAAAAGAACGCAGCAGTTGTTTAGCTTTTAATAAAATCGATAAGTTTAGCCAGCCATTTCTGTCAATTAAAACAGGGATTTTTTTACCCAGTAATATATATTAAAAAGGAAACAACAACCAAGTTGAATACTTTATTAGAAATAAACTGAAGTAAAAGTGAAATAGCCATGATTTAACTATATTAAAAATATAGTTAAAAGTTGCTTTTAATCTCAGCCTAATCATAATGAACACTGTAGCCTGTTTCAACAGCCATGGTTCAAGTAATATACAAACAGATGTTCATAGAACAGAACAGAGGTCAACTTCTTTTCTAAAATCGCTTTACAACAGGATGAAAGCCGCACAGGCTATTTCTAGTAAGAAATAAAATCAGTTCACTTCAGTTAAAACAGTCACAAATAACCAGAACTTTCACACAAACCGGTTTCTCTCTTCTGCTGTGCCTTTTTCTCCTGGCTGCGTCAGCATTGACACACAGGATTATGGGAAATGAAAGGCAGCAGCCAGCGTTGTATAAAAACATTTGGTTCAGGCATAACCAGGTGTGATTGTTACATTTCAAACACAACAGACATCTTAACCAAACAGAGGTGAATTTTCAGTTCCGTTATAGTGGTGTGATTAAAAATGATTTAAAAAAATGAACCGAATGGAGGAACTATACAAACAATACACAAAGATTTTTGAAAACAGTCTAAGAATTTTATTTTTTAAAAATTAAAAAATACTGGCTATTGTAAAATGCATAGTTCCAGTCCTGTAATCTGATTGGCTAAAATTGAAATCTGAAAATGTCACATAATACCTGTTATAAATATATAACTGCAAACATCAATTGAATTTGATATTAATGCCCTAATATATGTTGCTTGGCAGCCATATTCACCTGTTAACAAACTACACGTTTAGTAGAGGAGTGGTTCAGTTACTATTAATAATAAATTATTTATTTTACCTCTGTTTTATAAAAACAGCCTTGACCAGCAATAAATCTCTGCACTGCTCAAGCTTGCATGGCTTCTTGCTTTATTATTAGAAACAGTTATAGTTTATTCCAACCTTCGATGCATCTTGACTCCCCTAATATATCATTATTTAGCAGTAAAGTGCTGTGTTTTTATGAGTGATTTGTATGGTGGAGCTGCGGCTCTTGGCAGCGTGAGTACCTGAGCTCATTACGACGTGCTGCGTCTGCCACTGTCCCTCTCAGGGTCTCCGGAGCTGGAGCTGGCGCGGCAGCCGGCGGCCATCTGTCCCTCAGCCCAGCGGAGCACACTGACGGGAGAGGAGGGGCCGAGAGTTGAGGAGAGCGCGCTCACACCCGATCAGCTGCTGTCGGACTGCAGAGCCTCTCTGGTAAGCACGTCCACGCGGCTCATCCCAGCTGTCCATCATAGTGAACATCAGAGGCTCATTAGGGACTGCAGGTCGCCATGGGCTAAGCTCAGTGCTGGACTGTATATGATTATTCCACTGCACAGTCACTCTCAGCTGTGCAGTTCAGACCTTTTTAAAGTGATGGTTTGGCCAGTAATCCAATCTATAAGACTTATGGAACCTTATAGTCGCCAATAAGCACCGTGCAAACTGCATGCCTAAATCGTCCCACAAGTGCCTCAGGTTGTGTTGAGTTGTTAAGTAATCTTAAGTATGTGGTTTCTGACCAGGCATGTGCACAGATAATTGCCGGGGGGGTCGGGGGGAGGCTTAAGCGCATACCCTTTTCGCCCTCAGGCTGTACAAGTACCTCCTTGGTCGGTGTGCAGTAATTGTATTGTATATTTTTAATATCACATTGTACCAAGAATTAAACTCGTGGATCAGTTTGGGCTCCACAAGCTTCTTCATGAAGCTTCCACAAGCTTTTCAAGTGCAGTACTGTCTGTCTATGGAGATTTTACCTCCGACCCACCTCACATGGACGTATCACAGTGTTGGAAATCCCACCAATGATTCACCATTCTCTAAATGTTCTCTTTAACTAAGTGTCACATCCCATTATGTTGTTATTTTGAGTAAGCAAACATAAAATGGGTTTTTAATGATTGTAAAAACAGTTTGAACAGTTTAGCTTTTAAAGAGATCACCTGTCTTCTCTATGAGAACACTTCCTCATCAGTAAAACTATGTTATTTCTGTCTGCCTATTGGAGTCTTTGGGAAAGACTCCTAACACTATGTTTGCTTTCCTTTGAAACACTAAAAGTTGGTCTCTCTTGACAAACATGAATACTTTATGCTGTAAAATAAATTATATTACAAGTTCATGTTGCCCCTTTATTTTCCTGAGCCCCTACCCCTCAAAATGACCAAAAGTTATATATAAAAATAAACAAAATCGTGAAGAAAGGAGGCCGCTGCTACTGTTTTTAAGCTTTGATTACTTGTTATCTACATTAATGCAAAACAAAAGAAGCAAAACTGGGACAGACATGTCTTGCTGATAGACTACATTACATTTTTTGCTGAATGATCAGTTTGAAGTGCTTTATTCATTGTCCTGGTTGCCCCAGGACTAGCGCTCAGTTTACATAAGAGTCCTTTGGTGTTACTGGCAGTGGTGTTGTTTTTATTCTGTTCCTGCAGTACTTGAAATAGGCCCACCAGTGGCAGTTATTCCTGATTGAGGCTTTAATTAGAATGGATAATTGACTCGTATTGTCTCTCTGCTCCACAGCACCAGGATGAGGCAGTTGGTTCTGACCGAGAACCCGCCAAAGGCTCTGTCCCTGCAGAAGAGGGTGAGTGATCTGATTGAACAGTCTGTGTCCTGAACGAAAAAGAGTTCCTACTTTAAGCCAATATATAAAACTTTCATTTTCTTTTCAGGTAAAAAGTGCAGTAAAGGGGATGATGTTGCTTGCCCACAAGAAATAGAGCAAGCCAAGAATGGAGGGATAAAAAGAGGAGTGTAAGTGACAGTGTTTATATTTATGTATTTGGATTAGATTTTGGTGTGAAAATGTAATTAATTTCCCACAGTAGCCTAAAAGACTTAAAGGGATGTTTTTTCAGTGAGGGATTAGCTCTGTCTTTGACTAAAATGGGCTTTCAATACTGAGTTGCTGTTGACAGTGTGAATATTTATTTTTTATTTATTTATTTATTTATTTTTAACTCTAAGACTAGTCTTAAAATCACCAGTCTGGGATTACCACACCTGCTGCAGTACTAGCTCTGAGTTTGCTAACAGAGTGCATTGCAAACAGACTTAATCTCTTGTTTTAATAGGTGTGGTCTTGTAAACTTGTTTTTGTTGTTCATGCTGTAGGAGAAAAATTAGCTGGTACTTTACAGTAGTTTCCCGATTGGGGCAGAGACTGGTCAGGAACAATAGGGAGTTCTGGTAATGACAGGTTAGAGTGTTTAATGTGAGGTATAATACTGGTCTTGGTCTTTCGTCTGCAGCTCGGTGAAGCCTGAGGAGATTGCACAGGACCTGCTACAGTGGAGTGTGGCGGACGTGGTCAGTTACTTCACTGCAGTGGGATTTCCCGAGCAGGCAGTGGCTTTCAGAACACAGGTTAGTACCTCAGCACTGTCCAGGCTGCCCAAATCTGGCGTGTGAAGACATACTATGTGGTTTGATCTATCGTACTTGAATAGTATCAGGAGTATTATATTGTAGTGTCTTAGAAATATAACATTGCACAAACAAATTGAACATGGACTTTGTATTTTGTGGCCCTCGGCTTGCCTTGACTTAGATTGTGTTCTGGATAACCAGGGAAAATTTTTGGGCACTGCTGGCCTGCTTAGTACTGCAGCCACTAAGGAGCAGTTGATCCTCTTGGGAAAAATTACAGAGTTTCCTTTTTTATTCTTTTATTTTTATTTTATTTATTATTATTATTATTATTATTATTTTAATTCTCACAATGGCCACAGGGAACTGGGCATCGGCCCACCTGCTCTACTGGTTTATCTCAGTACTTTAAGCAAGTAATAATAATAATAATAATCATAATAATAAGACATAAAATTACATGTAATAGTTACAAAATGCTGCTTGATGCCTGAGATATTGTTTTATTATAGTTTTGAGATTTAAAATGTATTCTTCAAATATATTCATGGAGAAGAGGTACATGTAGGCCATTGTAAGGCAAAGTAGTGCCCAAAGAAAATATATTTTTCAGATTTGCCACTATTTTACCATCATCAACATTGCGTTTAAAAACTCTTGAAAACACATGTAGGGTCACTGGTCGTTTTGGATTATGTCTACATTTGCATCAAAGATGTTACCATCCCTGGTGTAACCTCAAACTGAATAACTTTGTTTGCATCTGGTGATAGAATTCTTAAGAAATTTTGAAAAATTGGTGATATTCCTCTTTAACCAGTTTGGTTCTAGCTGCACTGGGGAAGTTGCTTCATCTTTCTTCTAGGACTTTCACAGTCTATGGCTATAGTTTCTAGCCTTTTGACCGAACAGAATAATTTCTCTTCTCTTCTTTCATTTAATAAACGTTTATTCTTTAGTTGTTTGGTTATGAGGTAGATAAGCCTCTGCATTTAGATGACTGTAAGCTTTTACTGCTCCAGATGGCTGTTCCAGTACAGGCTGTTCTCAGAAACTGTAAGACATTTTTGATCCAGTGGTTGAAATTGAATTAAAAAAAATATATATATATATATATATTTTTTTTGGCTTGGTTGTAAAAATGTCTCTTTTAAACTAGTCATCTTACATTTAGTAAAGGGTTATTCTTTTATTTGGTTACAAAGTAAATATGATTCTATATCTAAAAGCTTAATATTAAGGGAACAGCTTTTTGAAGTAGTGCATACAGGACTTGAGAAAGTGTGTGTGTTTTGTTTTTTTGTTTTTTTTTTGTAATGGACAAACCCCACTGACTGCAATTTAAAGCTGATTCAGTCCAGCTAGTTGGCTAATATTAGCTAGTTTATTAAGCTTATTGATGTTTATTTTCACATCCACAGGAAATTGACGGGAAGTCGCTTCTCCTGATGCAGCGCAGTGACGTGCTAACAGGTCTGTCGATCAGACTTGGCCCCGCCCTCAAGATTTACGAACATCACGTGAAGGTGCTGCAGAGGAGCCACTTTCAGGAGGATGGTGATGTCATCTCATAGCCCCGCCCCCTCCACTTCAGAGACTTGACTGATACCCACAGAGCCCAGCGTGGGCACACTGCGGGGAGAGAAAGGACTCCTATACTCAGCCTTTCCTCGCCTCCATCCATCCATCCATCCATCCATCCTTCCCCCAGACCGGCAGAAAACTCTGCCACAGGATATCATTTCTCTCTGCTTCCTCTCCTTCTTCACGCCATCACTTCACTCCATCAGTGACGCCACTCAGCTGTGGACTTTGTGTCTTTGGCATTCTTTTATTCGTGAAGGGGAGGATAGTTCTTCATCCACCAGTATAGTTTTTCTTTATATGAGTTACAGTATCTCAGTAATATATTTTGTTTGCAATATTATATCGACATTTCCCTTTTACTTTTAATATGTAAAGCAGCAGAAATTCCGAACTGTTGAAACGCATACGTAACATTAGGAAATAAATTCAAGTTTCAAAAAGCTGTGTACGGTACGTACTGCTGCGGATTGCTTACTTTAAAGACTGTTCCCCGAAACCTGGCTGTGAGCCATGTGAAAGGGAAGAATCATCAACTTTTCAAAATTTTACATGTGTAATTGTCCCAAGGATAATCGCTAGGTGAAGGTAAGAGGATGTCCTGGAGTTATGTGTCTTGAGTTTAAAGCTAGAAACATAATGGAAATGTATTCGGCCTGTCTTGGCCCAGTTCATGTCCATTTTATAAGACAAATGTGTCACCTTGTTGAAACTCTGGTTCCCACCAAACACATATACTTGGGGATCTCCAATAAAAAAACACACACTTGAGAAAGATCCTGTTGTTAAGTTTTGTTGTTGTTTGATTCCAGTTACTGGATCCCAAGTGAGTCCATTTTTGTGCGTTTCCTACTCCAGTTCATCTGACCCAGCACACGAGGGGCTTATTATTTACATAATGAGTTGAGTGTTCGGCTGTGTTAGATGAGGGAAAACGCAAAAATGTGCATAGTGGAGAATTTCCCCAAAAAATCAGTATAATCAAATAATTCACATGTAAACAGTTATACAGAGTGGTTTGATGTGAAATGCTCCATAATAAAGACACTTCAGCACTGTTTACAGTAGTGATGGCAGAAATCAGACATGTGAAAAAACATTCACAGAGAGAGGTACATTTAGAGCGTTATAAGGCAGAATAGTCCAAAAAGAGAACTATTATTTTGTTTGTTTCTTCAGATTTACCTGTTTTACCATTATCATTGTTACATATAGAAGCTCAGAAGACACATGTAGGTTCAATGGCTGTGTTTATGCTGCATGTATCACGCTCTGTGGTTCCTGTCAACACCACTCTAAAAATTTAAGTCAGTAAATCTCTCTACAGTGGATCTTTTTACATCATATCACTCTGAATGTCTTTGTTTATATCCCAACAGTTCAAACAAGAAATGCTGAAAAATCTGTGTAATTCCACTTTAAATATAGACCTCTAAGTTAATGTCACTTTGTAGGTTGGCAACCAAATGAGCCCTGGGTCTCAGCCATTTTTGTGTAGGAGAAAAATGAATGGGGTTTTCAGAAATCACTCCTCTGTGGTTATTCGTTGAGTTCAAAGCCTATACATAGAAGTAGATAGATAGGAGCTCAAATCTATAGCAGAGGACCCCTCAAACCCTTCAGACCCTTCAAAGCAGAGGAGTTCAAACCTGCAGCAGAGGATCCCTCGAACCCCTCAGACCCCTCAAAGCAGACAAGCTCAAACATGCAGCAGAGGACCCCTCAAACCCCTCAAACCCTCAAAGTAGAGGAGCTCAAAGGTGTGAGTTTATTAGAGATGCAAACGAAATCCTGGGGAGGATTTTCACTTTCTAGAACTGAACTGCCCACGTCTGCCGGCATGTCTTGTGCTTCGTGCACTTTTCACCTGAATCACTGTGTCGTTTGAATTATACAGTCATTAGTCAAAATGAGAATACTGCTACATAGGTACTACTTGCAAGCTGAAACTTGTGTGTGTTCAACTGACAGTCTCTCCAGAAAACCCCACCCAAACCAGCAAACTGTGTAAAATCTGTGGTTTTGGCAGTAGAAGCTAGAAGCTGAAAGGTGTTATATAATAGTGTTGAAGCAGCGTATAGTTATAGTAGCAGCAGTACTTTCACATAACATCATAATTCATATTTTGACTACTTAGTGACCTCTTATTCAGTGGACCCAGTGACATTTGAGGAAAACATGTACACTGGACAAACTGCATCAGCTTGGGAAAATTAGTGTTTACCACAGGGTGTGATTTTCTTTTTTTTTTTTAACGCCGTTCATTTTTCTGACAGAACTGCTTATGTGGGCATGTCGCCCACTGAAGACATGGCATGTAATCCCACTTGTTCTATTGCAGTGATGAAGAGATTTAGACTTATATGAGGACATTTCTACTTCCCTCAGGATTAAACCTGCCTTTCTTCACTGAAGCATCAAAAATGCACTTGATATTTTGGTGGTTGCTTTAAACGGAAATTCCACTGATGTTTTTTTTTTTTCTTTTTTTCTGCATAATTCAACTGTTGAGATGTAAACAGTCATTCTGAGTGGTTTGAGGTGAAATGGTTCATTGTAGAGAAACATTCTGACTGATTTCTGTACAGTGGTGGGGAACAGGAACCAGGGGTCACAATGTCCAGTATAGGTTTCTCTTATGTAATGTTGAGAATGGTCAATAAACCAGTGATAAATCAGACAGTGTACTTGTAACCATTTAGTGTAAACTTAAAAGTGAGGATTTTTTAGAGGCATTAAACTCTTCAGACGTCTGGTTCCTATCACCAACACTGTGAACAATTCTGTAAGTTTGTCTAGAACAAAGCATTTCAAATCAAATCACCCTGAATGACTTTGTTTACATCTTAACTATTGAATTCTGCAAAAATCTTGAAAAAACTGGTGGAATTGCCCTTTTAGAATGCTCTGTGTTTCTGATGCAATCGTACATGATCATGCGGAGTAGGTTGTATCCAGTATTGGTTTATTAGCTCAGCTAAATTGCTTTCTGTTTGATTCCAGAGGCTTACAATATTAAGATTTTCAGAATTAAAATGGCTGCAAATAACAATCAATAAGCTACTTGTCATCTGGAAAAGAGCACAGGGCTGGAGAAAAGAGCAAATCAGCTCCACAGTTACTAAACACCAGTACCTTCCCTTGCTGACTTAGCGAGGTGCAGAGACAATTACAATGTAGTGTAAATGCACAGTCGGCTGTTGCATCATTTTATATTTCATTCAGAAATATAAAATGAGGCAACTATACATGCATAATTAAGACTTCTATCTGTGATTCTCATTAAACCAGTATTCAGATTACATCTGTTAGGTGCTTCTGTGAACTACACCGTTGTTTTTTCAGGGGCAGGTAGTGTGGTCACTGAATTGTTCCAGTCATCCTAATTTCCCCTTCACCCTGAGAGCAGTCATGGTCCTGGAGATCTACCACTCTGCAGTGTTTAGTTCCAACCCTAACCTACCAACACCTGATCCAGGTAATGAAGGCCTTCAGGGAAATCTGAGTATTAGAGGCGAATATGATCTGAGTTTTCCAGGAAGGTAGGTCTCCAAGACCCTGACGGAGCACCCCTGCTTTAGAGCGTTTGAAAGCCCCATACATGGTAAAAGAAAAGGTACTGAAGCAATGGCCCATTGCCTCCTATTATAAGCGTGCTTTGGTTCAGTGATTTTCTGGTACTTTTCTAATTACTGGGAAATGAGTTAGAATTACTGTCCATGGTAATCCACAGTGCAACATGGAAGCCCATTCCTGCCAGGTAGAGGAGAAAAAATGTTTTTTTTCCTCTGTTTCTGGCAGCACTGTGTAAAAAATATTGATGTAAGTTTCCTAAAATAATGACTTATATTCTCAAAATATTTTTAAGATATATTTTGAGAAAGTAAGTAATTATTTTGAGAGACTAAGTCAATATTTTGAAAAAGCAAGTCATATTTCCAGATACTCAGTCAATATTTTCAGAAAGTAGGTCATTATTTTCAAGATACTATGACAGTATTTTGAGATACAAAGTCCATTTTGAGATGTTAAGCCAATATTTTGAGAAAGTCAATGTTGTGACACAAATATAGAAGGAGGGTGAAAAAAACTCCTCTAACAGGCTTCCATACAATACAGATATGGCTAATCAGGTTGAAAAATGCTGGGGTTTCTATTTACCCTGGTGGTGTTAGTTCTTTTCTGAAGCGATATCCCATCACAAATGTTGTTCAGTTGCCAGTTTAAATTGTGCACAGAGTGATATGAGCTCTCCTGAGGTTGCATATGCAAAATCTTTCCTATTTTTCCCAATTAAAAGTGCCAAATCTAAGATCAGCTGCCATTTATGCAGTCATTCATCAATGATCTGGGAGCTGATTCTGAATTAGAAGCCTTACTTTGAGATGCTTCATACAAACTGGCCCAGTACAGCAGTGTGTAAGTAAGACAGAAAGAGTCTACAGGACGAAGGGCAGGATGGGCGAGCGCAGTGTTGGGTATTCTTTAAACTCCCTCAGGTAGCTGCGGTGCTTGCCTTTGGCCCACACGGTCATCTGTATGAAGCCGACGATGGTGAAGAAGGCCACAGGGACGCACTGCGTCATCACGGTGAAGCCCAGCCAGGAGCCCACCTACAAGAGCAATCACAGCACTGAGGCTGGATAGACAGCACATTCACTTATTAATGTACCACTCACATTATAGTGGAGAACCAGCACAGTTGACCAGCAGGGGGCAGCACTGCAATAAAAAGTTAAGCTTGGGTGTCAAACTGTGGTTACACTGCTGTACAACACATCTTGGTTATCACTGGCTCAGCAACATGCCTGAGTGACAAAACAATAGATTTTAGCCATCTGTAATGTGTAATATGCAACATTTTCCATCGAACTATTCTGCTGCTCCTCAATCCAGTCTTGGCAGCAAAGGCTAAACTTTGAACACTTGCTCTTCTGGTACACTAGGAGGCGATGTGCGGGGAGGGAGTGGGAGGGAGAAGAAGTCTAGCTGTTCACTCACAACAACACAAACCATAATGGAAAAGTGGTGATCAAATCTCAAGGCACATATCATGAAATTACAATAAAACAGATAACTTATCATTCAGTAACTTGTTGGTGTTCCTTGATGATGATAATAATAATAATAATAATAATAATAATGATGATGATCTTAAGTGTCTAGGTTATAGTATTTCAATCTACACTGTTATTTTTGTATAAAATGACCACAATTATTAATATAACAAGTGATTGTATAATAATGAATATTGATTGAAAACACCTGACTCTAATTTCAAATTATTGCTAATCCCAAGGGTCACATTCTATTGCCACTCACAGATATGTAATATAGGATCATTTCCCTCAATGAATGAAAGACCAGGTCTAATATTTTTGTCTCATTTGTTTAATTTGGTTCTCTTCATCTACTTTTAGGACCTATGTGAAAATCTGATGAAGTTTTAGGTTAAAGTTATGCAGAAATATAGAAAAATCCAAAGGATTCACAAACTTTCAAGCACCACTGTATATATCGCTGTTGGAGCAAAACCTTGTATCTCTATTTCTCAGTTTTTGACCTAATTTGAAAATGCCGGATACCGTTTACAATATATGTAAGTTTCATGATGAATGGCTCAAAAGAAACATCCCAAAATGACTTGGAAAAAAAGTCTGGTTATATATAGGTTTTTTCCTTCTGCTGTAAAGTTATCATCTTAGAGATACAAGGTTTTGTTCAGACAGCATCAATCAATCATACAATCTACAAAATCCTATTCTCATTGCTGAAACACCATTCTTATATGATAAGCAGCTCTCACCTCGTATGTGTAATTTGGGCATGAAACGAGTGCAAAGATCCATGTGAAAGGATTCTTGGTTGGATATGGAATCTTCTTGGTCTTAGAACCTTGGACATAAAACAAACGGTGAGATCTTGCAGGTTTTTGTGGCCTTCGATTGCAGGCTTTGATTGTAGGAACTTACCAGGAGGTTTGAGATTGCGGAGAGTGATGTGAATGGAGAAGCTCCCCAGCTGGCAGAACTGTGACAAATCAAAGAAACACATGACGAGAAAGACCAGTCAGTCTAAACGTAAAACAAAGGGAGTCAGTAAGCAAAGCAATGCTCACCAGAAAAATCCCAAGCGCTGTCTTCACTTGCTGCTCCCCGTAGTCTAAAAACAGAGAGATTCGCTCCGTTTCACTGAGAAAGCTGCAGAAATTGCCTTTGATTTGAAGCCAAAGAGGCCAAAATTAAACATGGCGGGAATTCTTACTTACACGGTGGTGTGTAGAGTGGATGGTTTATGTAGTAGGCCATCCACGCAGCAAAGCACCAATAGTACAGACAATTCTGAAAGAGAAAGAGGTTTGTTAGCCTTTCTGCTCATTATACTAAGGCATCAGGTGGCTGAGTAGCAGAACTTTGGTTTGTGCTCTGTGTAACCCATCAAACACTTGTAGCTCCAGTGCTGCTGTACAGTTCAGACTGTAGCCCATTTGTTGATGCACAATTTATGTTAGCCACCCCCTAGCCCTTTGTCAATGGTCAGCTTCTGACCACGGTGCTTTTTTTTTGTTGTACTCTCAACCTCAACAGTGACATTGATGTGTGTAAAAACCCAGCCACACCTCTGTGCCTGATACACTCATACATGCACTGCCATGTCAGTGTCACTGCTGTGCTGAGAATGAACCGCCACCCAAACAACATCTGTTCAACAGCAGCCTTGTGGTCAGACACTGACTAACAATGAAAGAGGTAGAGGAGGCTGATAAAAGGATCAACAGATGGGCTACAGTCAGTAATTGGACTAGTACTAAGATGTCTTAGACTGGTATTACATGGTGAAACCTTTATGCAAATTGTTGCATTGTGTGAGCTGCCTGTAATTTCATTTCCACAGCAATTAAAAAACAATCAAAGGTGCAAACAACACACAGAGTTATTCCTCTAGTCAGCCAAACTAGCAGCTCGTATTTTTGATACACCGCATCAACCTCACTATAAAGCCACATAAAGGTGAAATTCACATATTTGCAGCATTTTTAACATGTTTTTATGTTTTTCCACCTGTCACTGCAGTTCTTTTTGCTACACATCTGTCAGTTATCTGTCTATCTAGAGTTTTTTATCTGTTGTGTGTATCTTAAGCCTTTGAAAATGAATGTTTTATAGCCTACTTGATGTCTCACTCATCCTGACCTAGAAGCTCATCACAGAGTGCAACTCAGTCTCTCTTCCCATAATAATTTCCATACTGTGGATAGTAATCTGAGTTCTGTGACAAAACAGGGGATGTCAAGTGTTGAGAAAATGAATGTAGCCAAAGTACGAAATACAGGTGTCCTGAAGGGTCCGGGACCCCCTAAGTAACCTCTTGGACCCCTGAATGTCATAAAATCAAAATTCTGGGAGTCCCTGAAAATAAATTTATTGTGAAGTTATGCTGTCTGTTAGAGAAAAAAGGTGATTAAATGCAAATTCAGACAAGGGTCATTGTTCACCTACAACTGGCTACAGCTGGCACGAGTAACTAGAGATGCAGCACTGGTCTGCCTCAGGGTGGCGCTGTAGTAAACTGGTTCACTCAGTTGTATGTATGCAGTTTGCCCAGGATAAGCTACCTCTGAAAAACAGAATGGTGTAGCATATTTGTAAATTTGAAAACTTGCCCAACTTTGCAAGAGTTTGGTGGAAAGAGTGAATTGTTACTAATTTCTCAAAATGAAGACCCAAGATGAGACATGTAAGATCTCAATTATGAGCTCACTACCAAACTAGAAAAGAGCATTTCTAAAAGACGAATTGTTGAACACAACATATTTTTGCCACTGATGCTAGCATCAGCACCGCTATGGGGAGTGAGTTTGCAGCCAGTCAACGCTGGAGTAGCCAGCCAGCATGGGACTCCCCCAAATAGGCTAAAGAAGAAAAGTGGCAGGAGCAGTCATTTTACAAGCTGTTAGCATTAGCTGGCTAGTCAATGCAGCTGTTAGAACCCTAACTGTGAGAACTTTAATTGTTGACACGGCTCAGGAACCTAATAAAATGAAAAACTACCAACCCTGAGTGGGCCCAAAAAACATCTCCTGTTTTATTTTCTTGCCCACTGATCTGGTGAAAGCAATGGTTTGAAAGTATGTTTTTGAATGTGATCATGTGATACGTTTTGATTGACTGTTTCCTGAAACTCCGACACTTGCAGTGGTTGCAGATAAGTGTCATGGGAGTTGCAGGATGCTTTACCTTATGCAATTCATGCACACTTTAGTTTCATGTAGTTTTCAAGCACCTGAAGTTGCATGTAAGTTTCACCGTGTTAATTATTTAAACTTATTCATCTGCACAGTAACAATATAACATCAGAATAAACACAAACAAACCTAAATACAATAAATATGCTGCCACACCTTGAAAATGTTGCGCAGTGGCATGGTGCCCTGGCAGAAGCGATGGACAAACAGTGTTTCCAGGATCCTCTTTGCGTAATGGAAGGAGTGACACAGGCATGCTAGGCTGGGGAGAATGGACAGAGGAGTGACCGAAAGCCATCTCAGAAGAATGGAAGAATGCTGTTTTAAGAGGTCAGTTCAGAATAGCTTTGTCCTTCAGAGAACACAGTTCATGCACTACAGTTCCAGTGACATTCAGAGGAAAAATATATGCACAGTAAAACACAGGCTTTGTGCTCTACAGGGTGTGACAGCAGTGATTTTCACAAAAATCATTCATTTTTCCCAAAAGAAAAACTGCTTAGACTCAAAGTTCCTGATATAGGCATAAAACCAAATGAAAACACTACTTCAGAGGTCTATGATATAGTTTGGTATGATCACATGGTATGTTATCACTGTTTTGATTGGCTTTTTCTTTAAATTTGTTTTACAAAGTTTAGAGTTTCAAATAAGTTTAAATGTATCGGTTTTAAATGGAGATTTTACATTTACAGTTCCATTTAGCAGAGTGTCTGGGTGAATTTGATGGGATACTCACTGCACGACCCAGTGTTTGCTGGTTGTGAAGTCGTATTTGGGGGCGTAGATGAAAGGCACTCTGAAATAGAACATCAGATAGATGAAGAGCGGCCCAATGCACTCAGTGAGGAACACCTGGAGAGAGGGAAAGAGATGTGAAAGGTATGGAAGCCTGTTTCTGCCACTGAGGAAAAATAGAAAGCTACTTGGTAAGTCATATCAATGAGAAAGTTTCCCATAATTATGTCTTAGTATCTCATAATTACTACTTAGTATCTCATAATTATGACTTGCTATCTTATAACATGAAATCTAAAGGATAAAGTCTTATTATTTTGACTTAGTATCTCTTAATTATGACTTAGCATCTCATAGTAATAACTTTGATGAGAAAATGTTTTCATTATTATGAGATAATAAGTCATAACTATGAGATATTTTTTATTATTATGAGACACTATGTCAATTATGAGATACTAGGTTATAATTATAAGAGTTTTTGTTCCAACAGCAGCGATATGTGGAATCCGGGTCACTATGTTGCTGTCACAAAGCTCCACAGGGACCCCTGAGGTGCACTTTCACCCCTGCAGCCGCAACCCCACTCACTATGTAATTCGTTGTTTTTGAACAAATCTTTTGGGTGAGTGAACTGAACTGATTCAGTACTTTGAAAGATCTGTAATGGTCAGCTAACTCACGCTGTTCTGTTATCTATAACAATGAACAAGAGTATGATGTAGCTGCTGCTACTATTTTTAGCTCTACAACACACTTCTGCCCACACAGTGTCAAAAACCAAGTCTATTTGAAATCATTTAACAATTTAAAATGCTTTGAGGCAAGATTGACATGATTTAGGCATGCAGTTTGCACAGTGCTAACCTGACAACTACAAGTTTCCATTGTTAGCTACATTAGCCTCCAAAAATCTAAGCGAAGCGAACATCTGACACCAAAAACTGATCAACTAAAGAGGGGAAGAAGGGAAATGTAGGGATGTACCATCACTTCAAGGGCATCAAATGTATTTTACATGCCATGTAAATTAACATACAGTTAAGGAAGTGCTATTGGACAGGTTTTGCTATGTAGCCTAATCAGTGGTTGGATAGCAACAGTTTCAAACTGTAGCTAGCAGAACTGTTTAGTTAGTCTGTTATAGCAGTCCATTGTGTTCACTTGCTTTTCATTGTTGCTGAAATACTGAATTTCCATTGTCCATTGGTCCTGTACCTGTCCAGAATCAGGAAACATGCAGAGAGTGGCCTTGTCCCAAATGGTGCCCTAAGCCCTGCAGTCCTTCTCAAAGCCCTTACTTTGGTGATGTCAACAGCGTAAGGCCAGAGAGGGCAAGAGACCTTTGGGGTGCCAAGTTTAGAAGTGGACATTTGAGATCGGCTGTACCCGGCTAAATGATATCGTTGTTTTTGTTTTTGAATGAGCTAATATGCTCAAATACAGTGGATCAGTATAGATTACAAGCATAATGCGGCTCAATCATAAGAACTTAAATTAATAGACAAATGCATTTTAGCTCACATCTGAATGCTCTTCTCCACCCTGTTGGTCAGGCAGCTGTAAACAAACCCCTCCACTCTGCATAGCACTCGCTGCATCTTCAGGGATTTTGTCAATGCTGAATCCGCATCACCAGGGTCCTCACCAAAGGCCAAAGTAAGAGCACATTGAGAGCAACTCTCCAAAGTGTGAAATGGGACACCCAGCGGCAAGAGCCTGGGGGCCACTGGCCAGAGACTCTAAGAAGGGGCTGGTTGAAATGCAGGGATGAAATTGTTCTAATTTTTTTTTCCAAGTTTTAACTTTAAATATATGACATGCACTCATTTGAGTGCAAACATAGTCAGTGTTTATTGGCAATTTATTAGCAATCAGCAGTTTGTCACCCCAAACCACAACTATTACTAGTACCACTAATAATAAAACAATTATAATTAAATTAACACTACTACTACTAATTATAATAATAATAATAATAATAGTAGTAGTAGTATAAATTCATAGCGTGTAATAAATATTTTGTGTTTAATTAAATTAGTTAATCTTCATTTAAGTAGCTGCAGGTAAAGTGTTGGCAAAATACACACCTAAATCTGTGTTTTCATTGGATTTGTTTGATAATTCCATTAATTTCCTAATTCTGACACTGTGTCTACCACATTTCATGAATGAATTCACAAAAGTAGATTAAACAAACTATTGGTCTAAATTAGAATGATAGCTAAGTTGGTCATACGTAAATGACAGCCATGCCCATTTAGTGTGCAGTGTTCATGGTGCTTCAGATTTTGAATGGTTCCTCTTGTGTGCAGCGCTATGCTTTTGCTATTTAACAACAAAAAGTTGAGTCTTTTTGCCTTTTTACCATGTAAGCATCATTATATTGCTTATGTTGGGTAACCAGCCACAGTATCTAGTGGGTGAAGCAAATCTACCCATCAGATGAATATATTTATATTAAAAAAAATGCAGGGTGGATGTGATGTGCCAAATGAAGCTGTCTGATGTTTGAGACTCTTGCCTTATGGCCTTGCAGGCACATGCAGCTTTGTCAGATGGCTGTGTCAGCGTTAATGCATGGTAGACTTGAAGTATGGGTGCCTACTTTGTATGGTGAGCTACTATGTCACTGGAACCAGATCTACTGTATGTGCCAATAAAACCTGATTCTGACTCTGATTAAATGAATAATTTCAATGATCCCCTTTAAAACACTACGCCCCACAAAAACAGACTTCAGGGCCTGCAGCGGTGCCACTACACAGGACACACAGGGACAGGCAGTAAGTGAGTAGGAGGTTAAGGGGATCAACACCTGGTGGGAAAACGGGGCCATGGAGATTAGATGTACTCAGAAAGAGGATATGTTGCTCTGAAGGTGAGAGAAAACAAAACTAGAGGACGGCAAATCTCCTGTATGGTAAAATAACTCACACACATACACTGTTAACCTCCATAGCCGAGGTCCCTCGAGGTGCATATATGCTTTGAAACACATTTTCTTACATTTTGTTTAATTTCACAAGTGGAGCAGTTCTGTCATAAATGAAAATTGTAAACTTTCAGACGATGCCACTTTGGCCTTTGACAGACAGAAGTGCAAAAAAAGAAGTGTATCAAACCTGTCATAAATCAAATGTTAGTGTAGTACATTGCATTGCTATATTCATACAAGCAGTATTGGGCAATAGGCTCAGGCAGCAAAGAAATTTGAAACTGTCTCGCCAGTAATTCTGTTTTTGGCAGTAAACAAATATAAAATATAAAACACTATATAACATTAAAATAAATAAACTTAATTACAGTAAAACATAGTAAGACTGGCTTATTTTCAGTAAAGTTGTAAAATGTCGGTTAGAATGAACACTGAACACTGTTTTGGTTCCTGACGTCTCGCTGCCACTCCAGCCATTACAGGGATTTGTTAAATTTCATGATTTAATTTAATGAAGGATTAACAGATAAACTAGGTATTGGATGTTAACACAGGGCTTCCTCAAGGAGAGGTCTGGAAATGGTTCAGTCTTGTTAGGCCAGACATGATCTCGTAACGAGAATCTGGGGACAATTTAGTTTTGGTGCTGGATTGGAAACAAGACCCACTCCGACTCTAAAACCCGGCAAATTCCTCTAGTCTGTGCTTTTAAGCAAGATGGTGAAACACTGACGTTAACTAATGGAACTGTTCTTTTTTCTTACTAACCGTTCCTTGTAAATGGTAATGTTCATTTTACAGTGTGTAATATGTTCTTTGCAAACATGACACACTTCTTTATGCTTAAAGACCCAGGGAAGCTAAATCTGTGTATTCTTTCTAATTTGGTTTATCTTGGTCTTGCAGGTAAACAGTAAACATGTACTTAATATACCCTTTGAATAATGCTTCTATGACCAATAACTGACTGATATATTTCACCATATTTAATTCTTCTCAATGTAAACTGAGCGGTCCTAATCTTGGGTAATGCTTCCGTAAGCATTCCCCTAACCAATCACAAGGCTGATGTCTCTTGCCCCGCCCACACAAAACAGTTTCAGAGTCAGAGAAACTAAGCGAGCTAAAGCTAACCCAGCATAAGCAAATTTAGCAAGCTAGACCACATGTCTGTTGCTGTCTGTCACCCTTTTATTCGTTTATCCATATGCCAGCGTTGTTTGTATGTCTGTTTCATCATTCGGTGCTTCGTCCACCCGTTTGTTTATCTGTTTGCACATCTGTTTATCCTTGATTTTTTCGTCCAGTTACCATCACATAAAAGCTGGATAACAATTTTAGTTCTGTTTGAGGGGCAGAGCAGGCTAAGAGTGTTTGACAGCGAGCTGTCAATCAAGCTGCTCTTTAGCCACACCCACACAGTTCTCCGATAGGTCTCACCAGCGTTTTTTAAGCCATGTTTTATTACATTAATATCTTATAATTTTCATTCAAACTTTTCTGGATGTTTAATATAAAACTCAAGTTTAGTATCATACAAACTTTTTATATATATATTTTATTCTGTGTTCCCTGGGACGTTAATTGGTGTTTCTGGGGGGCTTTTCAGCCCTGCTAACTTACTATGAGCTAATGACAGGCTTGTTCTATATTAGACAATTTTGACAAGCTCACCATTGCCCAATACTTTGAGCTCCATCTTCACAAAGCATTGGATTAGTATAGACATTCCACTCTCAGTTTGTTCCCACCTTAATTAGTCTACTTTCCCACCCACATTTAGCCCAAAATTTCTTATGGGATCCCCAGACATTCTCATTATGAGATGATGTCTGGCCCATGAGACTAGAAATGGTTTAGCTAACTCACTTGCATACTTCTGCACAGTACTATAGTAAATATACTTAAATACATAACTAATTAATACAGATGTACACATATGTATTAAGTAATTCATTAAATATAAAATTATGTTAAATATTACAACAATTATTGAGAATAGAGCCCTGTGATGGACTGGTGACCTGTCCAGGGTGTATCCTGCCTTCCACCCAATGACTGCTGAGATAGGCTCCAGCTCCCCCTGTGACCCAGAAGGAGAAGCGGCTTAGAAGATGTGTGTGTGTGTGTGTGTATTGAGAATAGAACCTTGCTGCTGGGTCGACCAGCCTCATTTCCTCCAGTTAGAGTCAGTAGGGATTCAGATTGTGGGTGAATGCATGACTGTCTGTGTGTTTTTTAGGTTAAGTGTTTCTGTGCTCCACTCACGGTTCTCCAGCTGATCTGTGATCCCAGGTCTCTGAAGTAGAAAGTCGCTGTGGTTCCCACAGGAAGCAGCTGGAGCACCTCTTCATCTTTCAAGGGCTTTCCCTCTGAAATCACACAGTAAAATAAACCACCACTAATGCAGCTCTGGAACACGGACATATTTTCCACTTTTTACAATTCAGTTTTGTCCCTGCACTTTCAAAGTTAGCCGGAAGTTGTGGGGAAATCTCTAAATAATGCAGGTCAAGTATTACTGCTGTCATAATCAGGATGACAGAAATGTAGAAATACATCTGGAGGACTACATCACTGGCAAATAGAGAGGCTAAACTTATTTCCATAGTTACACTGCACACATTTCCATTATAATACAACAGCCATTTCTGTTTTATACTACACCCATTTCCGTCATTACACTACACCCATTTCTATAGTTACATTAAGTCTGTTTCCATGGTTGCCTGCACCCATTTCCATCATTATGCTACACCCATTTTCATGGTTATGCTACACTCATTTCCAAGGTTACACTAAGTCCATTTCCAATGTTAGGCTACACTAATTTCCATGGTTACACTGCATCCATTTCCATGTTTATGCTACACTAATTTCCATAGTTACACTATGCTCGTTTCCATGACTACACTGCATCCATTTCCATTGTTATACAACAGCCATTTCCAGTTTTATACTACACCCATTTCCACGGTTACACTACACCCATTTCCATAGTTATGCTAAGTCTGTTTCTAAGGTTACACTACACTCATTTCCATGGTTACACTGTACCCATTTCCATGGTTAAACTGCACCCATTTTCATGGTTACGCTATATTCATTTCCAAACATATGCTACACCCATTTCCAATGTTACACTAAGTCCATTTCCAATGTTGTGCTATGTTATGTTATGGTGAAGTTCCACGGTTACACTGCACCCATTTCCATGGTTACACTACAACCGTTTCCTTGGTTATGCCATAACCATTTTCATGGTTACACTACACCTACTTCCAAGGGTACACTGCATCCATTTATGCTACACCCATTTTCATAGCTATGCTAAGCCCTTTTTCATGACTACACTATTCTTATTTCCATGGTTATTCTACACCTATTTCCATGATTACACCATATCAAATTCCATGGTTAAACTGCACCCATTTCCATGGTTACACTATACTAATGTCCATGGTTACGCTAGAATACACCGAATAGTGAAATGAGCTGACTTAGTTAGCTTACGTTAGCAGATTGTTGCCATACCAAACTCGATCTGTGCTACAAGCTCCTATTACTAAAGTCAGAAAACACCTACAGTATAGAATGATTCTGTATGTATATGAGATTGTGTCAACAATACAGTGTGACAAACAGCTCTACACAGATAATATGCAACTTCATGGTGCCCCCCTCCTGCATTTCTGAAACTAAAACTACCCCCTTGCACTCAGCTCCTTATAAATCAATGCAACACATGAGGACATATTCACAAGCAGCACTAAGAAACAGGATCCACTCACTGGGGTCCAGGCACAGCGACTGCCTGGCAGGATACCAGCGCTGATCTGGAGAAACAGAGTGAACATGGAATAGAATGTAACACTGACACATGGCCAAGCAGCTTAGCATCGTCACAAAAGGTTTTCAATTCCAATTCTGAAAAGTAACCTACTTGATTTGTGGAACATAGACTTTATGTCCAAAATAGTGGCAGAAGGTTCAACCTGCAGAGAGAGGATAATGTTTACAGATGTTCCCAGTACTGTGCAGAACTCGAAGACCACCCTTCATTCATTCAGTGTCCACTCTTTATTACAGTTTCCATTCTCTGTCTGTGGAGCTATTTTTCAACACCTCCAAAGTTTAGGCTTAGACTATTCTTAATTACAAATTTAGACTCATAAGTCCATAAAACCTCACTCCACATCAGATGTACAGTTTCAGTGTTTACATGCAAATTCTCTTCATTTTTGTCCTTTTCTCAATGAGGCTTCTTGACAGCTACACATCCTTTCAGTGTTGAGTCATAGTGTTGAGTTGTCTTCTCACAGTGGAAGGATGGACAAAAACACCTGTGGATTTTTTCAGACCTAAAGCAAAAGTGGACCTTGATCTTCTCCTCTCTCTCAAAAATAAAAACTTTGAGTGCTGTCAATCTGATAGTGACCATTTTGTTGGTCTACCAGCTCTTTGGAGTCCCATTTCTCTGTATCTTTAAATCAGTTTGTGAACTCTAGGTATGAAAAATCCTGTGTTTCACTATTTACCTTTAACTTTCCTCATTTTTGTGCAACTGAATTATGTTATATCTAATATTCACAGAAATATCTCATGAAAAATTGTGGTCTTTTTGTATGGTACTGTAGCTAGTATGTCCAATATATCTCAAATACTAATGTTTTAGTAATAAATGTAGTCCATTTGTACCAACTATAAAATGTGTGTGACCACATCAGACAAAATACAAGTTTCTCTGGGGTGAAAATTTGGTTTAAAATGTAATAACTTGCACTGTAAAAGCTCATGTAAGACACTGACACACTGAAATGCACGGCCATGCACAGTACCTTGTCCAGCAGCAGCAGTTTCTCCTTGGTCTTGGCGTCCAGGATCTCCACCTCAAAGTAAACAATTCGTTTAGGCTTTTTGGGCACTTTGGGCCTGCTTTTAGCTGGGGCAGATGCTGAAGCAGCCTCAGCCTTGCCCCCCTTTGCCTCTAAAGCCAAAATATCCATTACTGCTCCTCAAATATAACTCCAGAGGTCCACACTGCGGGTGGTTGCAAGTCTAAACCAGAACCCCTCCAAAGAGTATCTCTGTTGTGGCCTTCTTGCAATGGAAGGTTTTGGAGCTCTCCCTGATTTTTCTATCGAGGTCTCTGTCTTCCCTTTTCAGTCCAGAGAGGTGTGTTAAGTCGAACGTCCGGCCATGAAGTGAGTGGAAAATGTCTCCTGCCCCCTTAACACCTGGGGGGCTGCTTGCTCACTCCAGTGCCCTTGGGTCCACCAGAAAACCTCTGAAGGTGAAACCTGAGAGCCCCAAGACATAATCTACGACATGATTTTCACTCAGCTAAATATACAACCCCCCTGCTTCTCCGTACCTCTGCGAGCCAGAGCAGTCCAGCAGAAGTGGCCCTCATGACTCTCTTGCTCAGAGACTATTCTGAAGCAGAGTTTGGGCCAGAGAGAGAGAGAGAGAGAGAGAGAGAGAGAGAGAGAGAGAGAGAGAGAGAGAGAGGGAGAAAGAGCTGGCCGCATACCAAAGTAGCACAGGACGTTTCTCCACCAGCCTGCTAATGTCACTTGATCCATATCATTCTACTGTTGGACTTGAGTGACTCTACTGTAGATTGACTCAAATTATTTAACAGCACAAGCCAATTGCTTTTAAACGATCTATGTTCTACATTGTTCTTGCATTTTCATTCTTGCCCTGAGCTCCACTTATGATATTTGGCTGGTTTTATGTACTAATTATAATAATTCATTTGTTCATGACCATTTTACAACCTCTCTTTATTCCTGATAATTAAACAGGTCGTTTTTGTTATTATGCCTTTGAGACTTGTGTATGTTAATGAGCTCTGTTCTGATTGGTTGCTCTGTATTTTGCCTCTTTCAAAAATCAGTCCAGGCTGAAACACTCCTTATAACGTCTGTGTGAGTGGGTGGGGCTAAACTGCTGTAGGCTGAACGCATATGTAAATGTGTTGGTTTTTGTGACATCACAAAAACAGTGAATTCAAAATGGGCTGTTTTTTGCAGTTTAGCTTCATTATTTTGATTGTACTGACACAGGAGTGAATGCTATGTTTTTAAACTTTTAACAGTCTTTACATACAACATCAAACTTCAAAAAAGTGATTCAGTTATTATTCATAACATGGGCACTTTAAGAAGCTGAGGTCCAGTATAAAATTGCTTCGGCCAAACTGAAAAATGTAACCATCACTACATCTGCTGTAAACATTCCTACGCACCTCTTACAGAGAGACCATAGTAGTCTCTAAAGCAAGATTTCCTGGTTTGACGCCTTTAAATCTCAGGCTTATTACATATTAAGGCTTATTATTGAGTAACTACAGGAACTCCAAAGCAAACTCGTTAAGCTATTCTTAGGTTCTAGAAGTATGTTATAAAACTTTGGGCCATGGCCATTTAAGGGATTAAAGACTAGGAATACCCCCTTCTGATGATGTATGTTGAAGGTGGAAGTATATTTTGAAAGACTACAGGTGCTTTGGGGTGGATACTTGGGGGTGGGCTGTTTGATTTTTTTCACTAGCTGGCTGAATCATTTATTTAGTAAGAAAAAAAAAATTGACCAATTGAGTTCATATATATATATATATATATATACATATATATATAACCAGGAAAATGTCAGGTGGCGCAACCACACATTAATTAATTAAAATTATATTGTATATACTAGTCTTTGTATTTGGACATCTGTGTAAACCTTTTTTCCTAGAATTCAATGTTATATTTCTGTTTTTTTAATGAATTAACATTATTATTATATCACATTTTCCTGGTTTTCCTGGGGTCAAACTGCCTGACTTGGTAAACTAAGCCAGCCTAAACTTCACTCAAAATTAACAGTTTCTTCAGTATTTGTGAAAGGTCTACCAGGCTTGGCATTGTACCATGAAGATTACTTGGGGTCTTCTTCATGGCGCAATACTCGGCCCACTCTTCTTAAAGGTATGTCAGAATAAAAGTCCTTTGTTCTCAATTGTGCCATGTGTCGCTTGAGGAAAGCAGAATTTACAGTTAGTTGGTTATCTTTAAAGCTTTATTTTTCAACATGTTACGATTTGAAAACTTTCACAGTTTCATAAAAAAAACATGCCAAACTATTTTATTCAGAATTCTTTATAACTGAATTACATTTTTAATAGTTTACTTAATCTGCTTATATGGTTGGATGGTTGCACCAGCTGACATTTTTGACTTTTGGAGGCCTAAATGCCCAAAAGGAATTTTGATAAAGCATGTAGTGTAGAATAATATGACAGATGTAAAGTACTTATGAAAATAGTTTATAGGAAAATATAATGGAGAGAAATGCAATGATGTCATTGACCCATGTAAAATCCTGCATCTTGGACAGCCTTCCTTGCTGATCAAGAGATGATGCAATGTGGGAAATATACCCAGTTTAAACCTTTGAAACCCCAGACTTATTACATGCTGATACCACAATGCAAAGTGGGTTATTCTTAGGTTATAGAATTGTGTAATAAAAGTCAGGTTAAAATTGTTTTTAAAAAATAAATTAAATAAAAACAAATATTTTAATATGCATTTGTAAAAAGTACAAGTGATTTTCAGATATATTATGGTTGACACCAAATAGTGTCCTGCTCATTCAGATTTGATTTACCTTTTGGCTCCATCAAGTAAGAGTTTGTCATTTTAAAGAAAAACAACACTGTTTGAAATGTCCTTGCTCTGGTAAGAGTAATGATCCTTCAAAATCATTGTACTTCCTGATCCACTGCCACTGTCTACTGGGTCCTAGGGTCCTACCTATCTACACTGGGATCATATGCAGGGTTTAGAGTTCGACTTGTATTTTTGGCATGTTACTCCTCATCGGTTACACGTCCTCTAGCATGCAGAGCATCTGATGGGGCAGTGCAGCCACACTGCTGCACCCTCCCATTTGCCCGCAACCACGTCAGCAATTTAATCTAGTATTCTGCAAGCACTTCACTCAGAGTGGTCTCCCAGGGGTCTCTGACATTAAGACCAATATTAGTGCTGTATAATTCTAATTTATAGTTGTCCATCAGTCTCGAGCAGATAAAGCAAACACAGCGATAGGCAAAGTGCCCCAAGTAATCCAGTTTATTTAGAGCGGCTTTTTAGCTTTACATCAGCTGTAGGCAGGCCTTGAAGAATCTGCAATAGTGCAGAACAGCGCACAGGCTTGGTTACGAGCATTTACACCTAAATTTAAAATTAAATCATTGAGTTTCATTTAGACTTTTGAAAAGTCTACAGCTTAAACTCTCCAGTGCAAAGGGAGAACTAAATAACATAGATGTCAACTGTCGGCACTGACCAAAATTACATATAATTGACTAATCTTGCCTAGCTATACTAACAGTGGCGTAACTATGGGCCCCAACATATATAAATGACTTTCAATTAATAAAAAATTATAGTATAATTTGTTGGTTGTGTCTCGAACAGGTTGATGTTCTTAAAGCATGACACTAGCATTTAACGTTAACTTAAATGCTTTCATTGACTATCTGTCTAACTATTTGTTTTGATTGCAATCAAGGTGTGAAATCCTGGGGGTCCGGGATCCTCTACTTAACCTTTTGTGCCCCCTCAATGTCCCTGAAAATAAGCTTATTATGAAGTTATGCTGTTTGTTAGGAAAAAATAGATGCTCAAATACAAATTCAGGGAAAGGTTATTGTTTAGCCTGTTTCACCTACACTCAGCAAGCATTGGTCTTTGGTATTCTCAGCTAACTAGAAATGCAGCACTGGTCTGCCTCAGGGTGGCGCTGCAGCAAACTGGTTCATTCAGTTGGGCCTTCATGGCCTAGCAACTGTTGCTATGGCCAGGATACATCTGAAAAACTTTACAATATGTCGTAGTATGTTTGTAAATCTGGAAACTTGTCCAATTTCGCAAGAGTTTGGTGGAAAGAGTGAACTGAAAGACACAAGATGAGATCTCAATCAATGTGTGGAAGACCACGTTACGAAACTAGAAAAGAGCGTTTCTGAGAGAAGAATTGGTAAAACAAATATTTTGTTGCCATTTACTGTGAGCATCAGTGCTACTATAATGAGTGAGTTAGCAGCCAGCCAGTGCTGGAGTAGCCAGCCAATACAATCCAAGTAATCCCAAACACATTCAGTGATGTTGATCTCTGGAGTCTGGAGTCTGGAGTGGACTGTCCATTGTTCTGAAAATACCAGCAGTCTCTTTGATTCTTATTTGATTTGCACGTTTTCCTCTTCTTTGTCTATTTCCTTTTTTCAGTAAGAGCTTCTTGGCAGCTACACATCCTTTCAGACTCATAGTGTTGAGTTGTCTTCTCACAGTGGAAGGATGGACAGAAACACCTGTGGATTTTTTCAGATCTGAAGCAAAAGTGGGGATTGATTTTCTCCTCTCTCTCAAAGATGAAAGCTCTTTTTTTTTTTGACATCGTCCTTCTTTCTGCACATGGATTATCTTATATCTAATCTTCTCAGAAATATCTCCTAAAAAATGAATAACTTGCATTTGAACAAGAATTAAATAAATAAAAGGTAGTCTCTGAGCCTTTCTGTGTGACATGTATCTGTCTGATATATTATTTAAAGAGAATTATGATGATCTTTTAAGATTGTGGAATGATAAATAATGGATATATTACACTGCAGGTTGTGAAGGATCTGTATGAGAAAAGTTACCATGGATAAGATGTGTTATGATTAAGATGGAGGTAAATAGATATGAGGGCTGTCTGTGCAGTGTTGATGTAAGTGAACTGGTGAGGTATGTTGTTAAGAAATTGGATCGTTCTGTGAGTCATGGATGTACAATTGTGTCAGTATCTATATTAGTGGCTTCAGTGCGATTTCCCCCCTATCCCCCCAAAACCCTGGCACCACCACCACAACCATGGGGTTTTACGTCAACATTCAGGAAAGCTTGTCTAACCTAGCAACACTTGATTAAAAGTGGGCAAAGCACGGTGTGTCATTTACCACTATTGAATTCCTACAAGTCTGAAACATGACTGTCCTACTAATGTACCAAGGCCAACATCTGAATAGAACATGTAATACAATGAAATGCTGGCACTTAGAAAGTGAATTAGCTTCAGTTCAGTACTTTCTTTGATTTGTCATTTTATTACTTGGTTTCCAAAAGTTTCAGAAAATATAAAGACATAAACTAGCGTTCAAAATTTAGGATCACTGTTTTCAATGTATTTTTGAAGGTCGCAGATAAGTGTATAAAATTATTCTATTATGATGCTGCTACTCTACAACTTTCACAGATTTCAATTAATCAGTAGTATAGCTGTAAAATAACTGTGTCCAGAATTATGAACAGATAAACAGAGATGCTTCTAAACTGCTGATTTTTATACTTGATAGTATGAATGGGTTAAACATTGAAACACA